AATTTAAATTGTCCGAGTAATTGTGTTCTTAAACTTAAAAAGGCAGTTTATGGTTTGAAGCAGTCTGCTAGGGCATGGAATGCTAGAATAAACGATTTTTTGATAGATTTAGATTATAAAAAAGTCAGTATCAGAACCATGTTTATACAGTAAAAAATGTAAGAATGAGCAGATTATCATTGCAATATTTGTTGATGATTTCTTTATTTTTCTAATTGTAAAACTATGACTAATGATCTTAAGAAAAAACTTATGTCTAATTTAAAATTAAAGACTTAGGTCAAATTAAAAGGTGTTTAGGCATGAGAGTGAAATGTGAAAATAACTGTATATCTATTGATCAGGAACAATTTGTAAAACAAATTCTTAAAAAGTTTTATATGACTGATTGTAATACTAAAGATACTCCTATGGAATGTAATTTGAAATTAGAAAAGGCAGAATGTGTTGACAAACAGTTTCCCTATCCACAGCTTATAGGAAATCTTATGTATTTGTCAGTATTAACACGTCCAGATATATCATATAGTGTGAGCTACCTTAGCCAGTTTAATAATTGTTTTAGTTCAGTTCATTGGCATCATGTAAAAAGAATTTTAAAATATTTGCAAAAAAAAAAAAACTAAATCTTATGGTTTGAAGTTTACTAAAGATACCTGTAATTTAGAAGGTTTTGTAGATGCTGATTGGGCGTCGAATACTGTAGATAGGAAATCCTACACAGGATTTTGTTTTAAATTGTCAGGCTGTGTGATATCCTATGAATGTAGGAAGCAACAAACGGTAGCTTTGTCAAGTACCGAGGCCGAATACATGGCCATTGCTGAAGCATGTAAAGAGGCAATATATTTAAAAAAGTCTTATATCAGATATTATTGGTTGTAACTATACTGTAGTAATTTACAATGATAACCAGGAGCCAAAAAGTTGACAGAGAATCCTTTGTTTCACAAACGAACTAAACATATAGATGTTCGCTACCACTTCATACGTGAAGCAGTCTCTAATAGCCTTATTAAAATTGAATATCTTTCAACATCTGAGATGCCTGCTGATATATTAACGAAAAGTTTGAGTGCTGCCAAACATAACTATCTTATAAAATTATTAGGAATTCAAAATGTTTAAAATTGTCAAAGTTGTTTTTATTACTGCTTAGTATTTGATTATTTTGATAAGTGGTGCTGTTAAGATATGTTTACTTGTATCAAAATAGTCTACTTGATATCAGTCTGTGCTACTTGTAGTCTGTGCTAGTATGTAGTCTGTACATTGTATAACTAATAAAGTCTCTTTGTTCTCAACCTGCAACTCATTCGTTTTTTATTACGCAGACGGTCAGGAAATTACTTACTATTTTCTTGCTCATGAAAATTCCAATAGTTATACACTCCATGTAAATAAAAGAGATGTTTCAACTAGTTTATCGTTGGACATTCACACTCTGGCTGGCGAGGAATCGTTTCAACAGACAATTGACATGCCCCACGGTTTTATTTTAGTCTAGTCTATGCATATGTTTATAATTCCCACGACTGTATCTAATATTTTTGTTTTTAGTACATTTATCTTAAACATTGCAATGTATGTTTAACATAAAACCGTTTAACTTAAAAAGTTTTTTTACCTATTTTTATTTTCTAGTTTTTAGTTTTTATTTCGCATTCTGTTTAATTCATTTAGTGCTTCATTATTGCAAGGTTCCTTGCCCGTTAGTTTATATAAATAAATCAATTCTTTAATACAAATATAATATATATTTAATTAATAAAATAGATACAGTTTTTAATATAATGTTATATATTATATAATATTTATTTATTTATTTATTTAGTTTATTGTATTGTCACCAAAATCCAAAGTGTATACAAAATTTCAGATTAATCGGTTGACAGGAAGAGGGTGAAATTTGAATTACTAAATTTGACCCAAGAATAAAACAAACGGGGTGAGCTAAATAAAACCATTTAAAAACTGTGATATGAAATGTAAACGAAAACTCGTGTTTCATACAACTTTATCATAATTTATTAGCTAATTATTCCTATATTTCGTTTCTAGAAAGATACTTCTACAATGGATATCTAGCTGAAACGACCTACTTGGTAGGAATTAAATCCAACTTATCTCATAAATACAGTTGAGAACGCCTATAAAGGTTTATTCATAAGCACAAAATAACAATGGAACCAGGATTGTACAAAGCGTTAAAGAATTAGGTCTTTCTGAGTTGACATTACAAGAGTAAAGAGAGCGTAATGTGATTGATGAAATAATTTATTTTGGTTGAAGGTTGTATTTTTTACAATTTAATAAAAACGGAATCAAGGTATAATAAAACAATAAACTGAATTTCCAGATAACATTAACAGATATTCGGAATGTGATTCAGTTACGTATTTGGCTCAACATTGAGAATTGTAGATCAGGAACGTTAAAATTGTAACAACAATTATTCATTCCTTCAACATTGATTTCCCTTTCTAATAACATTTATTCATTTTAAAATAGATCGTAACAATGTATTATAATATATATATATAAACTCTGAGCATGTTTTAGCAGTAACTAAAAAAGAGATTTTATGCCCAAAGCTATTAAGTAAAGATCTGTGAAAACCCACTTGCATAAAGTGGTTTAACGTTTTTGATAATACTGGATTGTGTTACAAATATACGAATACGGATGAAATATTTTTCCATATATTCTTAATCTTGAATAAAAAAGCACACAATATTTTATCTTGGCGTATAAATTAAATGTTTGTTTTAAATTTAAGGAAGGTTTCGCCCTGATTATCTTACGACAGGCAAGATAACATTTTGCTACAAGTGATTTTGTAACTTGCGGCTCACTCTTTTCCGATGTGGTATTAAAATAATGTTTTGCCTAAGGATACAGTTAATTTAGATAATCGAAGTGAAATACAACGATTGTCATGACAAAACATGACAAGGAAGAACTACGCTGGTTAAATTAACTTTAACCTTTGTATGGAAGATTTCTTTACAAAGACGTAAAACATTTCGTATGAAAAGTCTCAAATCAAAAAATAATGTAATTAAAGACCTGATGATGATCTTATTTCTTTTCCTACACAAATTTACAACAAAGAGGATTTCCAATTATGCCTCCAGCGTTTCTTTACAAAGCTAGTAAAATGTCCCACTTGTAGTCCTTTTATGCGTTGTCACATTTCGATTATATTCTTTCATAAGCCGCCCTGGATTCCGGCGCGATGTAAATTAGGTGGGAAATTACAAACGAGCCACGTTTCCTGCCAACTGTGCCAGTGTCGAGTAAAGAGTTATTGTTACAAGGATGTGATCGTGCTCTTTATGTTAACTTACATTCGTTAGATAACTCGCGAAGGAACATTGACCGGACTTAGTAATATTTAGTTAAAATGTTTAAGGTAACGACTTAAATTAGGTTTCTTTAACTTCAGTAATGAATAAGGTATTATAATAAATACGTTTGATTAAAAAAATCATCAAAGCACTGTCGCAAATGGACTGGGTGCGTCGCCAGTCAGCCGTGTCTTCTCACGACACTCATAGCCAATGACATTGCGATTGAGGACAGTGGGTTCGTGACCTGCTTATACTATATCTACTTCGCCAATTAATAATAGACCGTTTTTTATTTATTGTATAAAAATATGTTCAACTACTGATATAATATATATATATCTAACAAATAATAATTGAATTATTTTTAACTAATCATTCTAAAATAGCTTGTAGCAAACGCAAACCTAAACCAAACAGTACCTATGCTGAAAATATTCTTATCTGATAAGAATTACTTTGAAGAAACTTGGCTATTACAGGCCTACTCACTATATTCATATTAAAAAATTTTTTTTTTAAATCCTAATTTATATTGGGGTGCGCTTTGGCAAACTCATTCTCATCTATTTTTTATTATAATAAGTATCTGAACAACTTTGTTTAATAAGCTAAATTAAAGGAGGGCCTTAGAAAAAATAAATATTTAAATTATCCAAGGTTATCTCTGTATGGATAATTGAAATATGTACATGAGAAAGCCAAGAAACATATAAAGTGGTGTTAACTTACACCAATAATTAGTTAATTATACTATTTATTAATTCATATTTATTAAAAAATACTTGATCATATAAATATTATTGTGTTACATATAATTAGTAAATATAAATTTAACACATACTTAGGATTCAAAATTTTAAAAAGAAACTGTCTTATCATCATTTACCTGCATATTTTACATAAATAAACATTTCAAGTGCTTTACATGCACTGTAAATGTTAATATAAGTTTATTTCAAGTAATGATAAGTAACAAACATTCTATTAGTAAATTAGTGTCTTAATAACTAGGTTTGTATAAGGTGTTATTAATGTTTATAGGTTCTATATCTTAAATAAAAATAAATAAAGGTTTATAACATTATAAGTGTATGGGAGCTGTTCCACTTTCTGACTTTCGTTCAACACTGAACACAAAGTCCTTGGCAATAACAGAGAAGATAATCATGATGTTAGAGCATAATTGCATTTTCATTAACAATATCTAACATAAAATCTCTTATATAACAGCCTTAAAAACGATTTTTTATTTCATTAAATTAATTGTAAATATGAAATTTTGTATTAACTTATCATTTAGACCTAATGGTTGGTGGTTTCAGTTTCCACACTTAGACTCTCATAAGGTCCATTGTGCATACCTATATCATTTAGACCTATAAGAAATGCCAACCTGAGTCCTGCTAAGTAATTTGTATAACACTATTCACTTTTTTTATATTTTAAGTGGTTTAATTTAAGCAGTAAAATTGCCAAATCTTTGCTTAACTACCAACCACTGATAAGGCAAACATACTTTCAACATTCAGACATAATCAGTTCATTTACATTGATATCGTTATCTCACAGGGCGAAATATTTTACAATGAGTTTAGCATTTGCATTGAAGGTCGTTAAAACATGCAAATCGAGAATAAAGACGTATTCTTAAAATAGTTTACAGTCACTGACCTGAGGTAAATTAGCTGAAATCTGCCGGTGCAATGAATCTCTTTCCTTCTCAACTTCTTTCAGCCGTACTTCTGTATCACCTAACCGCTCTTGTGTCTCACGCAAACTCTCCACCAGCTTATCTCTTTCGTCTAACATAGACACCATGAGTTGCTCGAAGTTCGCATCCTCGCCAGAAAATTGAGAACTCCGTTGACTGATACTGTCTTCAGATATCGTAGGCATCACGTCGCACATCATATTCCACATTTTAATTTACCATGAAACAAGAAAAACTATCGTACACGACACACTTACTACGACCAGCTAAGATTTAATCACCAATTTACTACAGTTTCGGCACGAATGTTACCTAAAACTAGCGCACAAAATACGCGAGCGTTCTTTTACATTGTCTTTATATTCGTATAAACTTTCAGTCAATATTTTGGCGTGCATTATAGTTCGATAATCTAGTAAGACACACCTACAATGTAAAATTTTAAGATTCCATACTATCGCGGTTCAAGCGGCATGTCTGCCATCTTGAATTTAAACGTCAGTCATCAAAAATCAGTCGAATGTCGAATAAGAATAGGTAAAAAATTTGGCTCTGGCTGTCACAATCATAGATTGTAATAATACATTATAAAAATTGATCCAGTTAAAAATAATTATAACAATGTTTAGAGAACTTTATTAATATAAAGTTGACCGCTTCTTCCATTGAGAATTAAGTAATATGATTACAAAATGAATAATATTTTTAAGATTGACAGGATTTTAAAAACCATTTCAGAATATTCATTAATCGCTATGGAATCTATACAAATTGTTATTTTTATTTCTGTTTTGTATTGGCCTGAAAAATATTCAAAGGTCATAGTTTTAAGAACCCCATAGGACGGTACTCTACGAAAAATGCGTTGCACCAGGCTCTATGAAGTACCATGCCTTTAAACTCGTAAACAAGTTTTTTACATTAATTATCATTTTTTATTTCTATCAAAAACATTTCCGACGAAATTAAACTCCAAGATAGTATAAAGATTGTTAGACAGCTGCAGGAGACGACAAGCAAGCAGGGGGGCCTTAACAGTAGTGTATGTAGAACGTCAAAAACTAAATTTGTATGAAAACTTTTCGACACGAACTGTCATTTCCATACAAATTAAGTTTTCGACTTTCTACATACACTACTGTTAAGGCATCTTGACTAAGGCCCCTGGTCGGTTTAACAAATCTGTCATCTGTGACACTAATGTGTCATGTGACTAACGAATCAAAAGCAATATATCATATTTTTAATTTTAATTCAAGTTTTTTTATCCATAATGCTCTTTAATAAATGTTTTATATAGTTTACTCTTAATAACCCTTTTATTTTCCATACTGTCATAGAGCCTATTGGTATGAAACTCGTTTACATGAAACAGTGTACGTCACGATTTAATTAGAAAAGTAACGATAGGACACAATCACATACTTATGCATTATATTAAATAAAAACTAAATATTATTAAAAATGTTTTAATACAGCGTAAATAATATAATAAAAATAAATATATAATATCGTTTTTGCCTTCCAACTCTTTTAAAAATATTAATCGTCAAAAATCATTTAGATTTTCACACGCTTTGACTATGCCTATTTGTGACATCACTAGCTGTAGATCATAGAGCGCCGCACCAGTAGGTCTGTAATCTGTATTCGTCTCTCATCTGTTGACTGTTCACCCTAATAGTTCTAGTAATGTACTCTGTGATCTATAATATTTTTTTTAAATTAAATCAGTTTTATCATTTATGTATCTGAATCTGAACTTTAAAATTCAATTATTCAATATCAATTTGCTTTATTCTAGTTAGAAATTTCTCTAACTTGTTACGAGCTTCTGTGTCATGCCAAAGAAAAAAGGACAAAAAAAGGCCAAACGTACGTGTACGTGTACAGTTTGTTCATTTGAATAAAATATAACACTGATTTTAATTGCAAAAATTTTTAAAGTTCGGGTTTGCATTGTGTTTTTTCTAAAGGATTTTTAGGGACAAACTTAAACCTATATTAAGAGTGTAACTTTTTGTTCTTAATAATTGTATTAGCTCTACAATTAACTTTGGTGCCTATTTCTAACATATTTTGTAATTTTTTATTTTAGAATTATCAATTTCTCAGCAGATAAAAGAGAATCAACATGAAGACAATAATGTTAATGAGGAAGAGAAAGATAAAAAAAGTTTAAAATTAAAAACCTTCACAAATCTCAAACTGATAATGGTTTAGTTTATCCAGAAATTGTATGGTATTTGATATCTGCTTTTATTGAACCAAAAGACATTCCCACCTTCTCTGCTATCAACAAAGTAACTTATTGTATAACTAAACGAGAATCTTTTTGGTACTCAATATATAGACGTTACTGTAAAGGCCACAAGCTTTTACCTGAAAGATTGCATATTGATGAGACCTACAGAGCTTATGGATTGCGTCAAAGAGTAATAAGAGCATTATATTATACATATGGTGACTTTGTAGAAAGAGCTGGACAGTATGAGGCGTTTAAAATACCACCACATACATTGTTAAAACAAAAGTGTGTCAGCGTTTGGTATTCCAAGGGTCAGTTGTACTGGAATATATACATTAAATTTAAGAAGAGCCTAATTAGGCCACTTACTACATTTGAAGATGAACGCAGGGTTTGTGCTAATCCTGAAGAAGATAACATAGTTCTTCAGGTTAATTTTACTGACTTTTGTTAAAAAATATATTTTTGTAGACCATATATAAATTTACTCTAATAAACTTGTTTTTTGCCTTAGTAGTAGTCTGAGTTTATTATTTTAATATTGTTAATACACAAACTTGGAATTGTATGATTGAAATAATATTTTCTTACAGATTTGTAGCAAGCATGTCTACAACATTCCACCATTGATGGGTATGACCTTATCAAGTTTTTGTTTGTCATATATGTCACCAGGACTCAAACTCCAGTTGGGCTTTAGAAGTCCTCCTGAGGCAATTTCAAATTTCCAGGCATTGCGTCATGTTGTACTGGACACAGTTTGTAAGTGGAATATATATGAATGGTGGCATCCAAAATATCCACATTTTGAAGTTAAGCCTCCTCCCTTAATGAAAGATGAAGAATCCTCACCAATTTTAGAGGTTGACTTTTTTGATTTGACTGATGAGGATTAAATGGTAAGTATACGAAACAAGAAATAGTTATGGAACTATTTCTTGCATAAGCATGGGCTAACATGATTTTTTATTAATGTTTTGAACGATACTTTGTGGACATATAAATTACGCAGTAAATTTATTGTGTGCGCGAATATTTGTCTTGACTTTAGTCTACAAGTCAGTTAAAAAAATTTATCATATTTTCCTCAAATAGTTGAGAATGTTTCGTCACATTTATTTATATTTGCAAAAAAACATTCAGAAGCAATTTTTGGTTTATTTTAGGTAAAGTAAGAATACTTATATTACTTATTATTGTAAGAATTATTATAAATTTTTGTAATAAAAAGATTCTTTCTAATGTATGCGTGTTGTTTTATTTAAACTTAATTTTGTCATAACATTCAATTTTATCCATATTTCTTGTTACTTGGTTAATGTTGTGGTCTTTAGATAACAATGTCAATTATTGTAAATAATTTTATTATTTTTATACTGATCAATGAACTCTTAGGCTGTCTACAAGTGATCATATTTCGAAATCCTCATATCAGCTACATTTTTTTTATTTATGCTATAAACGAAAGGTTCGTTAAATAAAGTTGTGTAGGGTGAAAGTGGGAAAAATTTGGAGTATTATTAAAAATTTAACTACCTAAAGTAGGTTTTTTATTTGAGCTTAAATTTATTAATTAGAAGATTAGAAATTTATCAAAATAATTACTAACATACAAAGATATTAATTTGGAAAGACGGTAGAAGAAAGTTATAAATTAAGTAAAAAGTTAAATATATTTCACCTTAATGCTGAGTGTCTAATCATCCTTAAGATGTTTGTTTTTCGTACCGTTGACAATCACGTCTGACCTTTTAGGTGTAATTCCTATATCAAGCCATTAGCACAATTGCAGTACATTAGTATCTGGTGAATCAGGCGGTACATCGGTCCTAAAATGCTTATTTTCTATATTGTTACTATATTTTGCGTTGGCTTGCAGGTATGTGTTTTTGTAATCTTATTTAGTGTAATTAAAATACTGCTATGTTGAAAATTTAAAACTACAAATTTTATTTTATTTGAAATAGAATAAAATTTAATTTTTTTTAATTATAAATTAAGAATTGCAATAGCACGAGGAGCAGTTGCAACCTAGTGACGAGCATTCGATTCCCAACCGTGAGGTTTCTTGAGTTTCAACCTTGACTGTATGACAATGGAATTTTCCTTCCTTACCCGTACCTCGTAATTAATACTCATAGTTTTTATGCTCCGACGTTGAAGAAACTGGAATGTCTGGCCCTAAAATCTAACAAAGATTCGGAAAGAAATCATCGAAACTAGCACTCAGAATTTAGAGGAACCTTTAAAGCGTTTCAGTGTGACTAATTATGTCTTAATAAAGCAATAATTATTTTTTATAGTTATGTCAAGCAGAGGCTCCAGTGACTCCACCAGTTCGTTGTGGGCCTATACCCAGAGCTGTAAGTATCGAATTGATTTAAATAAATATTAGATTTGTTTTTTTGTACAATCTCTAACCATTTTCAGATTTTCAGCTGCCTTAACATGCCCAAGGTGGTAAAACCAGAAATGGCTGAACAGTGTAAGGATGTCCAATCTCCCCATGTAAGTTTCATAACTATTTAACGTATGACAGTTGTACAGTCTTGTACGTTAGCTAGGATAAATCGATTGATGATTGTCAAATGTTTTTCATAGTTTCCTTTAACTCATTTTAGTGCGCAAGAATGACATGCCTTTTTGAGAAATCCGGTTGGATGGATGGCAAAAATGTAGATAAAGCGAAGATAAAGGCCTACCTTGATGATTTCGCTAAGCAGAAAGCGGCGTGGTCTGCCCCTATAGAGAATGTGAAAGAGACCTGTTTGAGTGGTGAACTACCCGCACAGGGAATACACCTTAGCTGTCCTGCATATGATGTGATGCAGTGTGCGCTTGCAAGTTTTATAAAGGTAATACGTAATTGCCTTCTAAGGTTCGTAACATTAGCGTGTTTAATCAATTCAAAAGGGCATTAAAGATACACATCAGAATGAGCCCATTAGACTAAAATTGGGATAGCTGATGGCGACGTGTATCTCGTTCGTATATAATATTAAATTTCTCATGTAAATAAAAATAATTTTTGTAATGAGAAATAAAGTTCTTTAAACATTAATACTGCCTAAGAAATTCCCGTTGTTATAAAAGAACTACTTAATATTTGTAACTATAAAATTGGTTGTGATTAAATTATACCTACTCTTTACATAAGAAAACGTTCAACTTAAAAAAAGGTATTTAATATATTATTATTTGAGATAAAATACATACAGGGTCGTATGATCGTATTACGTCACACTCTATCGGGTAAATGTTGATATCATTTGTTAAAAAAATATTACGAAATAATTTGATTATTATAATTTTCTTTATTTATCTTGCTTATAATTTAATTTACAGAACAGTGAAGCATCTCAGTGGTCATCAGCACCACATTGCGAGTATCCTCGTCAATTCGCAGCGTCTTGTCCCATCTGCCCCTCTGATTGCTTTGAACCTCAGATACCGACTGGATCTTGCAACGCTTGCCTTTCTTTACCTCGGTCACCATAAACTGCTGTTAGAGAGGTAGACTTAAAATAATTTATGGTTTAATAATTATGTAACAAAAAATATTTCGTAGTGTGTTCAGATTATATCATATTAAAATTACATGTATTGTGTGTTTGATGTTTTATTTGCTACCTACCTATATATTACGTAAGATATAAGCCCTACAATTCCATATATAAGCCCATCAATTAAATGTTTTAATATATAACGAGGACCATTTTAAACAATTTTATATTCCTGTTTAAATTTGTAAATAGCCATCGCCCAGTCCTTAATTTTTTTTTAAACTACATTTATAAATTACTATCTAGCAAAGTAAATTTATTAATATTTAATTACCTACCACATGAAATTATTATTTTCGATAGTTATAATTAAAGTTATTACGTCATAAAAGTATTGACCAAAGATGAATCCTTGGAATGCATAACGGAATTCCCAAATATCTGCTTTGCTGGTGCCCGTACCGAGGAAGCCTTTACGCATGCGCTCGATTTGCTTCTGCGTAGCCCGCAGTACCTAAATATTGGTTGACATATCATGTCAAAAACATTCGTTCCCTCCGGAGGTCTTGACGTCATTAAGAGGTCTTAATCTTCCAGTGTTTGGGAAAAGTCATGTAACGGGCGGTGAGTAACAAGTGTTTTATTCGTAGTCGAACAATCTATTTAATTTTCCCTTCTTATTAAGTAATTGCAAGGTGTTTCTTCAGGCGCATATTCTAATCCTTTTTTATTATATTAGGTCCTGAAGGTTTAGGTCGATAGTTCGTCCTTGGTCTTGAATCTATATTTAGCCTGAGATGGGGAACATCATATCAGATATTGCGCGTGCCTAAACCATGAACTTTAACTTAATTGATCATTACCATTTTAATGGTTTCCTCCTTAATCATCAGAATTAATATTCGTTAAATATTTTAAAAATATATATACGAGTTTACTTTATTATTATTTGTTAGTCTTTGTATTTATACATATATACAGTGGACCCCCGATAATCCGGCCCCTGTCTAATCCGCTACCCCCTGGAATTCGACACGGTCCATTATTTATTATTGAATATTTTTTGACAATTTTCGCTAATACGTTATTGAAGAAGTTATAACTTGTACGCAGCACCACTGAAATAAAGATTATTATTATTATTTATTATTACTGATTGCTTAGTTATATAATATATAATGAAGTATGATTTGTACTTCAGAGAACATATATATAACATATAGAATCTTATCATTGGGTCTATGATTTGTCGAATTACAAGGTACCTACTCTTTTGTAAAAAATTCCGGACTATAGGGGGTCTTAGGCAGTACTCTATAATCTGACAAATTCGATGTATATATATTATAACAAAATTAGTCTAGATATTTCCACGAATTTTTATCTCAAATCTAGGTGCCTAGAAGTCTACCAACATTAAAGTCAGTTCGCGTGATTACTGCCCACTTGGGAGCGAATGTCCAAATGGTTTTTTACTTTGATCGTTATTGGTTTTATACTAAAAGGTAAAAGCAACTGAATGGAAAGTTCCAGTTTTTCCTTTATTCCGAGAGACATATTCTAGGAGGATACACGTATACGAAGGATCAGTTTTATTAAAACAATAGCTCGTGTACATTTTAGATATTTGACATTTCGATTATCGGTTCGTTTATCAGATAAGATATAGTACGCTTTAATAACATTCAGTTTACGCTCTATTGATATGTAGACTGGATTAGATGTAGATTTTCAATAATTATGAACTATTTATTCAATGTTTTTTTATAATTCTAGTTGTTTTTTTATTTCCAGCGGTGAAAATCTAATCAAAAACATGTTTGAAGGCGCAGTGGCCGGTATTCTTAATCGGCTCTTGGGCAAATATGTCCAAGACCTCGATACTGAAAATCTTAATGTTGGCATCTTCAGTGGAAATGTTAACTTAACCGAATTGAAGCTTAAGCCTGAAGCTCTGGTAAGACATACCATAAATTGTACTGATATTAACGAAATAGATATACCTATTCAGATTTAAGCTACGTACTATTCATATATTATTATATTAGTTAAAATAATAAATTTCTTATTCCAGTACGAACTAGATCTCCCAATCGATGTGAAAATCGGTACAATTGGAAAAATCAATTTACAAATACCATGGTCGGGTCTGTACACACAGCCTGTCGTTGTACACATAGAGGATGTCCTCATACTAGTCGGTCCAGCTATATCTAATAGCTATTTCGATCCAGAACGCGAGAAGCGACTAACAAGAGCAGCGAAGCGGAAGATCCTTCAGGATTTAGAGGCTGAGAGTGAGATACTAAAGGGACCTCAGAACTTCTTCGAGAATTTATTTACAGCGATCGTAAATAATCTTCAGATTTATATAAGGAACGTGCACGTGAGATATGAAGACTCCATCAGTTCTAAGGATGGGCCGCTTGCGTGTGGATTGTGTTTGCAGAGTTTGTCTATTGAGACTACAAACAGGTTAGTATAGTCCCCCATCACGCAAAACTGTTCAGTTACGCGCCGAAAATAATACCTAGAAACAGGGGCGGATCTACCAAAGGGCTTTTTGGGCTGCAGCCCAGGGCCCCGTGGATACAAAAGTCCACTCTGAAAACAATAGGCGATATTTTTAATTAAAATAAATATCTTCAATTTAAAAAAATCCTCGAGATTAATCAACCCATGTGCTCATGTCTATCGAACGGAACGGGGAATTACCCGTCGGTTTTTTTTCGCGTGTGCGTTTTTACGGGAAAAGCTCGGTTTGGAGTTATATATACGTATATGATAAGCCTAAAGATGATGATAATATCTAAGGTGCAAAAAAATCACGTGAAAGTAGTAGGTTTTTAAAATATAGTAAAGTTAGATTGTAACAATGGTATTAAGAATAAATACATATTGAATTAAACTCAGTGCTTTTTAATTAAAAGCATCTGAATTATCATATTGTCGTAGTAAAATCATGAAAACCATCTTGATAAATTTCAATCAACATGACTATTATTTTCAGCAAATGGAAGCCCGCGGTAACACCCGCTAACGCGTCCACGGTATACCAAATGATGCGTATTGAATCTATGTCTCTCTACTGGAATCCAACAGCCACGGCGTTAGATGACAGGGAGATAGCCCATATAACGCCGATGCAGTATTATAATTGGAAGCATTATATGCTCACTGGATTAGACAAATTCTCGATGCATCACGAGGACTTTGAATTTCGTAAGTATTGTAATATTATTCTTATCGCCAGTCATGGCTGTAAATTAAGAATTTTAAACGAATCAGACATATTCGATAATAAACAAACAAAGGATAAATTTGGAAACTTCCATAGAATATTCAATTTGCGTTTGCTTTCACATGGTGAACCTACAAATCTTCAAATTCAGTAAAAACAGATAAAAAATGTGTGAAAATAAATTTTCATACATAATATTGAGTATCAAATATGTTATGTTAAGTATATCTGGCAACGCATTACCTAAAGAACATTATGATGATATATTTTCAGTTTTAAAACCAGTTACTTGCAAAGTAAAGGTTCTAATTAACCGGTCTGGCGAGGCGCGAGTCCCGCGACTTTTGGTGGACGCGGTGCTTCAAGACAGCGCTTTACAGCTGTCAAGGCGGCAGTATCTCTCGATTGATAACCTCCTGGCTTCGTTTAGAAGAATACAGCTTAATAGGTATATCATACACAATAATTTATTGATACAGTATATCGCCCGAGGTGCCAGACTTTGAACTAAAGCTAAATTACAATAAAGTGGAATCTCGATAACTCGATCCTCGAAATCCTGAGTAAGTCCAAAGAAATTGCCATTCCTTTCCGCTGAACACCTAAATACGCGGTATCTCATATTATTTAGACTTTGTAACTCGAACAAAATGTTATTTCCCTACGAAGTATTGATAATACATATTTACTAGTGGACCCCACAGACGTTGTCCTGCATGATATTTAAAGCGATTAGGATATTAAGCAAAGTATGAAAGTACCGACTGCAGTGCCATCTGCCGGGCTGATTTGTGAATCTAAACCATTCCCAGATCCCCTTGAACACACACAAAAATTTCATCAAAATCGGTCCAGTCGTTTGAGAGGAGTTCAGTCACATACACACGCACAGAAGAAATATATATATTGATACTCTGTAACTCGAATTTCAAAAAGGATACTGTAAGTCGTTGATAAATATAATGACGGCTTACTTGGAATCCCCCGAAATAATACCAATAAAATCAAAATGAATGTTCGGGTTTGGGGCTTCTAATATACATCAATTCATAAACAAATATATACTACAAAACTTTAAGTTGAATTGTTATTGAAATTCGACTCTACAAATCTAAAAATACACTTAGAAATCGCGCCTCTGTAAGTCGAAATTTCAGCAGTTAAATCATATGAATCTCGAAGGCCGCCAGTTGCTCTCCTTTTTATTTAATTATGTCAATTGTACTATATTAATGTATATGCAACGAAGTGTTAATAAATAAAAAAATAAAAATAAGTTCTTGTTAAGCCGTTGATTTTTTTGCCGTTCTCTTGACATTCGAGTTATCGAGATTCCACTGTATCTCTTTTTGTGTTACCTATATGGGCTAAGGGAGCCTTTGAAAAGCATTTTATCAATTTAATTTCTCGATAAAAGAAAAAATATATAAATTAATTTACACTAATTAAATATATTTTCCTCAGAAAATATAGACATCTTCACCCCGGGGTACCGTTACTGAAAAACATTAAAAAATGGTGGAGATATGCCTACAATGTGGTTTTAGAACAACGTGTTCGTCCCTACACTTGGGCGGCAATAAAAAAGCACAGGGAAAACTACAATATTTATAAGAAAACTTATAAGAGTCTATTGAGAAGTCCAAATGATATAGAATTAAAGATGGATTTGCAGAAGTGTGAGGATAACTTGCCGATTATATCGGTCGTTATTGCGAGGGAACAGGCTAAGTTTGAGGTAAGGACAAGAAGACAGTTTTATTTTGTCCGCGGCTGGTTTATAATTCAGTTAATATCATATAATTTACGGTTAATTTCTTTAACGTCTTTTAAAAGCCTTTTATATGAACAATAACCCTCTTAACCATATCCTTTCCATCTTTTTAATCGTGAATTTTGTAATTATATATTTTTTGTGAAAAAATCTGAAATTTTTTTTGAAGTCTGTAAATTCTGTAATTTTGTTTCTTAAATATAGTTATGCACTTTTTGCACCCTTAGTATTTCTTTTTCCTAACTAGGGTTGCCTCTTTAATTTACGTTATCTGAACATATATATATGTACCAAATATTTGTAACAGTGTTAATAAAAACAATTTTTTTTTTCAGCTTCTCAACCAAGAGCCAGATAGAATTGAAGTAGTAGAGACGGAATTTGATTGGTGGAATCCACTATCAGATTCTGAGAACGAAGTTGACAGCGTCAAGTCGAAGGCTGAGCTTTGCGTAAAAACTGAGAGGAATAAAACTTTGTGGAGCCATCTCTCAAGTCCCGAGAAGAAAAAGGTCTGTGAGCTGATCGGATATGTGGAGGGTGAACCTTATAAGGAGAAATCTAAACAATGCATTGGTAAGATTAGTGTATTATGAAATCTTATTTTATTGGATGATATATATTTACATTTAATTCGTCTACGTACTACGTCACCTTCTTCAAAAAAAAACTGTCTAGAAGGCATAGATGGTATTATAATTCCAATACCTAATACAGTTTACTTGATGCCTGCCTTAATATAGCATAATGATGAGTGAAACATACGCAAAAAAGACTATTGGTTACTGGTGTTTTGTATTATTCAGTGAATTGCGAAAGCCCGTAGGCCCTATGTACGTATGTAAGTACTTGTGGAGCTTATAACAGATATTACTTTTTTTTATGGGACGGGAGGCAAACGAGCAGGCGTTTCGCCGACCTTATTTTTTGATTCCAATATTTGCCTCCACCACTCCAACTACATTGTATTTGAGAATGCAAGTGGAGTAGGTGACAGAAATTCTCAGAAAAATTTGGCATTATCTTCTTGCGTAGTTCCTATATTAAGAGTCTTTACCTTTGAAAATAACAGTACGATTTTCTATTTCAGAGCACAAAATAAATCTAACTCTGGCGAATAGCTCATTGACATTGATGAACAGGAATAGAGAAGTCCTAGTGGTCACTCTTACTCAATTCCTCGCATCTCTCGAAACAAGACCGTCTGCTAAAGCATACAAGGTTTTTACGATATCATTTCTATACATATTTATTATTTAGCTTTCTAGGAATTTTAGTTTTTTATGAATGTATATATTTGACAATATCTCGAAAAACTTATAATAATAAAATAATATAACATTGAAATAAATAACTAAACTTAACATAAAATATATCATTAAAAGGAGTCCCTTTAGGCAAGGTTCCGAAGATACTGGCAGCGTTCCCCCTTTGAATTGCTAGACTAATTCTTTGTCCGAGGTAAAAAAAAGAAAAAAAAGAAAAAGCTTTAGAATAAGTTACGTACACTTGTGCCTCTCCTGAAGAACATATTGCAGTTTTGGTATCACCATAATTCATGTGCTGGGCATTAAAACAAATGACCGTCACAGGTGGCACTTATAAAGTGACTAGACTCAAATCACTTTCTGCGTATATAGTAGTGTATTTGAGCGAAACCGGATAATACCAGTTAGCATTAACGTACACTAGAACAAACAAAAAAACATCAACATCTTATTATTTCAATTTTATGTTCAGTTTTCAGTTCGAGCAGATAACATAGTTGTGGAAGGCGTGTCGTCAGATGGCGAGTTGGTACAGTTATTGGTCACTGCGCGAGAAAATACTCTTGGAACCGCCTTAGCATTGGACATTGAAAGAAACCCAATTAATAATCATGCGGATTTGGCAATAACTTGCCTCATGGAACCTTTAGAGATGGTTTATATTGAGGTGAGTTTTATTAAACATGATGAAATTGCTGACATAAAGTGAACAACCATAACATTTTTGATGTTTATATGTTAATATAGTACTCCTTACAACTTAATTTGTAAGCACTTTCCTTAAAATAAAATATCACAAATACAACTTTGCTAAATAATAAATGGTTGGCATATTGCTGTAATATTTTTTAAATTCTTTTATTCAATTAATATTGATTCTGTAGCTAATAAAAAATCTTGACAGTATTCACACTCAGGAATAGGTTAAATAAATAGATTCGTATATCACTATTCTGTAGATTATAGACAGGCTACAAATTAATATTATATCTATCTTTTGAATAATAAGTACTTCTTATTCAAGCCCATTTGATAAGTCAGGTTGGCCGAGTGGTCTAAGGCGCCAGATTTAAGCTCTGGTTCCCGAGAGGGAGCGTGGGTTCGAACCCCACACCTGACAAACTCTTTTTGGTTTTTTATACTTTTTTCTTCGTTTTAATTTTTTTTATAATAAAAACACCTCTGATTTACATAATTTTTTGAAACAGAAAATATTTTTTTCTTAAAAGTGACGTAACTTATACAAGATGAATGAATCACTATCTTTACGCGATACAATTTGTATAGTCTTATTTACATTTCAGCATGCTATAACGGAACTTATTAATTTCTTTCAAACCCATTCAATGAGTTCTGACGAGTTATTACAAGAAGTTACGACGGCTATTGAAGAAGCAGGAAATATCAGTAAATCGGTTTTAACTTATGCTGTTAGTAGGAAGAAAGTGTTTAACATCAATGTGGATGTAAAAGGTCCATGTGTAATTGTACCTGAGCATGGTTGTATGCATAAGTAAGTGTAAAGGAATAATCGTAAAATTCAAAGATATCATAATACCGAGAACTTATTTGCAACTCTAAGTATTACAAATTTTATAAAATTTATTGGAATCTATACATTTTAATTTTATTTTGTATTTTAAAAATACATGTCTTATTCCTTGTTTTAAATTATAATAATTATTACATAGCTACTGTTTATTACTACTACTTATTTATATAGCTACTGACAATATTATAAAATTAAAAAAAATATATATTTTAGGCCAGGACGTCTAATGGTAATCGATATTAATCGAATCATAATAAAGACTGACTTGCAACCATCGAACTTAGTTCTGGAAGATGCTACGTGTATGGAACTCGAAGAAAAGTTATACGATCGTTTCCATGCAGAATGCTCATTCCAGGTATGACTTGTGAAACCATGACCAAAACAAAATGGTTTGATAGTTATAACGTAATAATTTACGTGTTTCTCTAATCGGAATTTATTTTATTTACACTTTTTGCACACAAATAAATAATAATAACAATTAAGTTAAAATACAAGTGTTCCAGGCAAATGGAAAAATTCTAAAAATGGAATATTTTGCAACTTTTTTTTTTGTTTAAACAACGTTTTACTAATCAATGTAAGGTAGTTTATTTAAATCATTTTATTGTATTAACCTTAAGTTGCTATGGGTAATATAAATGTAATGTGTGTATATAATGAAAATATTTCCGATTAGCTGAAATTTATGATTAATTGATTTAGAATTTGTAATAAGTATACTAAATATTTTTATTTTTTTTCAATTTTCTATCTATTAATTTTTAATTATTATTACTATGTAGCTTAATTTACATTTTATTTTAAAAGGCACACTAACGAAACACATACAAATACTTACACACATAACATAGAAAACAAGATACATGCATGTGCATCAATAACAAGTGTGCACAACATTTAAAGGGAATCATTACAATACTACTTACTTAATGTTATAAAGTTGAACAGATTTCTTGTTTGGAAGTACTGGTGTGAATCATTTTTTTATATTGGATTGTTCATTTATTATGGAGAAGAAACCACGGAGCAAATTTAGTACCTAATTTAAATTACAATTTCTAACTATTTTGGGTTTAATGTAGATTTTATTCTGCGATTGGAACGAGCCGTGGCGAGAGTCGAGAAAACTTGGAGATTCTGAACATCATCTCGTACCAAGGGTTAAGAGCACATTAGTCTTTTCAACCAGTATAAGGAAAGACTATAAACTTCTTCCGAGGTACGAAAATAATTTCGGAGTTATAAATAAGCATTCAATTATTATCATGGTTATTTGAATAAATATCAGTCAAGACGAAAAGCGGAGTTACGAATAGCAACGCAAGTTCTATTTCTCCTAGATATAGACAATTATATATAATTCTACGGGGAACCATTCAGTAATACTGTCGAATTAATAAAATATAATGTTCTCTTTAATTTCATCAAGATTCTTGCCTATTTTTGTCAAATCAGATCTATACCTCAGAATTTGCGCAAATTATTAAAGTTAACTTTAAAAACTTGAAAAATTACATCCTATTACAGATACAAATTGAATATTTCACTGTCGAGTCTCAAATTAAATATTTCTGATCGGATCATTGGATTTCTTTTGGACTACTTCGATAATCTGCCGATTCCTGTACCTAACACCGTTCCTGTATCCTTCATGGATTCTGGCGATTATGCGGAAGACCTCCTGGATCCAGATTTGGTAGAGACCCTGCAATTGGACAGGGTCCTAGCCGACCCTGGTTATGGAGAGCTGGTTAAATTAAGAAGGAAGATCGTTTCTGCATATTTCAAGAGGAATAGGTATTAGTTCAGGTTTTTAACACTAATTATCCAATTATATTCCATCCGAAATATTTATTCCGGAATGGTTTAAAGCCATTTAATAAATATGATAATTGCGTGGCATGACGTCATCTCCTGAAACGCGCTAACAAAGACATTGCGGCCTAAGTCCAAGGCCTTGGGGCCGGCCAGTCAACAGACTGGTCGGGGATCCCCCCTTTCGGCTGGAGCTGACTTTATCCTCCACAAATATCTCGCAATTCAATTGTTTAAAGTATCTGCTTACTCCGATAAACAATCAAAATATATCATACATTTCAATTCACTGGTTGTTCCTATATTTAAGTTCTCAATTGTTGAAATAAACACAGTTAATTAACTCTTTAGAGAACCAGAAACCCAACTGGACGGCGGTCACTCTCATTCTCCTACCGTCGAATCTCTTCCGCCGGCAGACATCAGTGATGAAGAAGTAGAAGAATATGCACGATCTGTGGACCTTCCCGGCTTCGACGATAATGTATCACCTAGCAACAATATTGGGACGCTTCTAAGATTTATCATTGGTATGTATTTTATTTTTGGAATTAGTGATTTACTTTCTGTACTCTCCAATTATGTTTGAATACTAAAAGTTTATTGTTTACCTAAAAGGGTATGGAGCGAAGAAAAGGCTCTTTTAATGATAAGTAAAAGTGACCACGCAGAGTCGGATAAATTTAAAATTATGTTAAATAGTGGTACATTTATAATGATCAAGTAAAATAGTGTTTTAATCATGCTCATGTTTCGTCCAACGCATGGTTTGCCGTTCCGTTTTGTTATGATATACTCTAATTTCCACTTATGCCGATAAGCTGATGATTAAAAAAAATCTTATTTCAGGTGAGATTGTAATAAATCTCAACCGATCCAACGATCAAGTGGACCGACCCTACATCATGTTAAGCGTGACAAAGCTGTGTCTTGACGTGGCTCTAATGGCCTATGGTCCCGCAGTACAATTATCAGTTGGATCAGCGTTGCTTACAGATAAGCAGCACCACAGCAGTACTGGACAATACTTGGAGTTGTTGACTAGTAGTGAAGAGCTGTTTAACTTACTTTATAGAAAGGTATGATATGTCTTTGATAGACTACCCCAATAAGGCAAAGGGCATAGATACATCTATCTAATATATAAAATTCTCGTGTCGCGGTGTTTGTAGTTAAACTCCTCCGAAACGGCTTGACCGATTCTCATGAAATTTTGTGTGCATATTGGGTATGTCTGAGAATCGGACGACATCTATTTTTCATCCCCCTAAATTATTTTGTTTTAATTTTTAGATATTTTTTTTTGTTTTTTTTTATGATACAGCATTAAAAAATACATACAACCCCTAATTTTCACCCCTCTACGATCAACCCCTATTTTTTATTATAAATGATATACATGGCAAAACGACGTTTGCCCGGTCAGCTAGTATTATATATAATTTATGATCATTTGGGTAAATCGAACTCGGAATCACTAGGTTATAAGCCGTCTATTTAACGTTTAATAACCCTGAGCATTTGTTTCGACACGTACCAACTACTACTGGGACTTTAGATAGTACCTGTCGTAGTCAGCAATTACAGAAGATTTCTTAAAATACAATCTAATCGAAAGCAAGTAAACTACCTCTTCAGTAGAACAAATGTTTTGACAGCTCTTAAATCTAAATTTAAGAAATCTTTAATATGTATATATTTTAAATTAGAATATGTGTTTAATTCTAATAAGAGTTTTAAAATTAAGTTCAATGATCTGAGTATGCAATATAGTTGTGATTTAATTTGAAAATGTTTCATTAGGTCCGTGCGAACTGCCCGGAGTTCCGCTCTCATTTCCACAACGTAGAGCATGCGTTAGTGGCCGATACAGGGGACATCTCAATACTAGCGCATGCCCCGGCTCTGGCCACGCTCATCAAGTACTTGGAATATATACAAAGAAAGTTAGTGCTTCTGTCTCGAAAAATAATACATTAAAATTAATCGGCAGTATCGAAATATTACAGCTCTATTATACATATAATATGCACCCCTATATATGTAGCTATAGGTATATACCTACTAAAGAAGATTTAGCTTAAAATTCCAAGATATCTATATTTTTAACTTTGTATCAATTTAGCTTAAAATACATTTTTTTTGTACATCCATTCATAATGAAGGTTTAAACAACCTCTCAATTTTAAGTTCGCATAAACTAGCCATCAAAACCGCAATCAATACTTAAAATAGATGTTAAAAAGCTTACGATTAATAAAAATGCGTAAGCTATTTCTGGGAGCTTATAATAATCATTTCAATATCTTATAGTCTCTCAATACCTAAGATACTGTTTATAAAATCGCTTTTTCAGAATACAAAAACGTCACACTATAAATGTAACAAGCGTGGTGTTGCCAAAGACACAACGATTATGGGACCTTCTTATGGAACCTGAGGCTGACCCGCCCGTACCACCTGGAGCTACAAAATTCAGTTATTCTATGCGGTACTATTATTTTATATATTACTTTATTTTTTATTAGATTAATTAAAAGAGGCCTTTGTTTGTTATTAAGTTACTCTCTTTTTTGTTACCAAAACACATCATTAAAGAACTTAACAATACTAAGCAATATAACTTATGCAGGCAGACTACATCTATAATAAATTAAATAGGCTGGTTAATACCCGCTCACCGTCCACGATCTTAATAAACACGGTTAAGTGACTGGCTTATGAACACACCTTACGCAGAGTTGGAGATGCTTCTAAGACTGCTATGTAGTTAGTTACACATTATACTCACTCACTCACTCACTGACTCATGCACTCCAGCGTTTTGTAAACAGTTAAAAAACATGTAATGTAATTACTATTAAGTTTATTGTGGAAGAGCTGGAAACCCTGACATTGGTACTTAAAAGTGTTTCCAAATCGTACACATTTGCCTTGTTTATAAAGAATAAACACTTTTTTTAATACAAAATTTTAATCTTTCGTTTAAAGATACCGATTTAGCGATATAGTCTCCAGTTGTTTTACTCTGTTCTGTCTGTCGAGAAGGCGTAGATATGCTTCCATCACTCCCTCTTGGCCTACTATTATTTCATTTTTTTTTAAATTAGGGTATCCTGTATACGAATTCGCGCGTGTCAAACAGAAGGCGCTGTAGAATGGCGAATCTTGGCATTGGAGAGTGACTGTGTTTTTCGCGCCAACGATCGACTTGTCTTTCGTCTATACCTTGGATCATTGCAAGCTGACGATTTATCTGATGCCACGCTCTATCCGAAGGTTAGTCTGATAACATATTTGTTTATTTATTGATTCGACAAGAAACTTATGATTTTTTATAATATTGAACGTCTATGAAATGTGCGCTATTGCAATATTAGTACATTTATATAAGGATAATTTCAGTTGGTATGGCCAGATGAAGACAAAGTGTTAGAAATGAAATATGTACGTTCATCGAGTGGTGTTGAAGCGAAACCCCGCGCAGAGCTACGTATATACATAGGTCGACTACACATCGTGCTGTTCTGCTCGCTTATATACAATTTGCAGGTATAAAATCTCTGTTGAGTATTGGAGTACTTTTTTTAATATGTCCATGTTACACTGGTTTAAAAACGACTATATTTAATAGAATATTGTTTTCACACAAATCAAGTCTTTGTAAACGCTGTGATTATAAAAAAGTTGTCGCTATGGAGACCTTCGTTTAATATAAAATTTGTTCTGTACCAAGCATTTAATTTGATACACGATTTCTCTATAAATTATCAAGTTAATATATGATTTAATAAAAACTAAAAATAATTAATAATAATTCTGTGTATGTGTGTAATATGTTTCATTATTCATCGTTATTGTATCTTTTAATAATAGTGACCAACTAATATTTACAGCAATTTCTCGAACTGCTCATACCTACTACGGCGGCGACTGAAGCGGCTGTCGCGGCGGAGAGAGCGGCTCACGAACAAGCAGCGGAATTACGAACTTCTGTGATCAGAGTCAGTCTGGCTATTGAGGTAGGGCTAATTAACGCTCTCACACGCATAGTAAAATAAGATTTATTGCTATACTTTGTTGCCTGGTAGATATATTATGTTGTTACGTTTCGAATAAAAATTATGTTTCTGAATATGTACCTACTTATATTGAACATATTTTTGCGTGTTTTATAGATAACTTTTGAATGAAAGAAATGAAGAAAATTATATACATATGCGTTAAGTATTATGTGGTATACGGTATTCTTTAATGTTATTATTTATATTTCAGATACACGCGCCAGTTTTGTTGCTGCCTCAAAAGCCTTCGTCGCCTAATTTGTTGGTTTTTAACTTAGGTATGCTCAATTCAAATTATCAGGAAATATTATGCATTTAACCTTAGTTTAGCATGTTTAAGTAAATTTTTTTTTAATTTTCCTCCTACAGGTGATCTCATGATAGAGAATTTCTTCAAGACAGTGAATATAAGCCAAGAAGCTTCTAGTCCCATTCAAAGTCCCGTCATAGACAATGTTTTATTCAAACTAGACAATATCACTCTGTCCAGAGCTGTCATGACTTTAGCTGGTACTTTAGAAGTTCAGGTACGAGAAAATAATATATTTTACTAGTTTTACTACTCAAATTAACACAAAACCGTCCCAAAAGGAGGAATAGTATTTTCTGTGGATCTATTTGCCCTTTAATTATATGCCGTATTATATTCTAGTTTTAATAAACATAAATATCTTTTTGGCGCCATTTTTTTGTTGGTATAAATATATATACGTATATATATATAATTCGGTAACTTAGACGCAGGTAGTTTAAACAACTAACTCACGGAGTGCGTAGAGGCAAAACGCTATAAGTCTATCTTATTCTAGACATAACAGTAAATATTGATTAAATATTGTTCCAGGAACCAATCCTAGAATCTATATCAGTGCGTTGTGACTTAAAACGTACAATTGGGTACGTTCAAGTGTCAAACGTCGCCGCGTATCGAGACTTACTTCTGTGTGAAGCGGATATAACGATGGACACCGTTAATATTAATATTGGACAGAAGGACTTGGCTACGCTCTTCGCTGTATGGACTGACAATTTGAGTGAAGGCAATTATATTGGTTAGTAATCCTCATACAAAATTCCGATTCAAATAATACTATTAATATGAAGATGACTATAATCCCTCCACTTGTTGTTTTTACTATTAAAACACTTGTTTTATTTACTAATATACTATTGAATTGGGAAATAAGTGGTTGTTTAGGCAGAGTTTTTCATTACCATGTGTCATTATTGTAAAAAAATCCTTACAGGTATGATTGTGCCAACTTCGCCTATAGAGTTGGCTCCAACAGATGAGCAAGTTAAAAAGTTGCAAGCTTTCTTTGCGCAAGGTGAACCTGTGCGCAAGGAGTCTGTCATAAGGTATATACTAAATGTACAAAATTTATTATTTACCTCGAAAAGGAGTAAAATAATTTCATTGTCACAAGTCACCTTCATGTCCTTCTCACATAGTTCGATTTCCGGCGATACTAATGATCGTTTCGTCGGATAGGCTCAACCAAAACGCACGTAAACGTTTCAGATTTAATAATAACAATTTATTTTAGATAATTTTACACTCAAAAACATTTATATTTCTATTATCTCGTTCTTTTTAAATATCTGTGTGCACTTTTTTTGCAAAGGCCTTCTCCAAATCCCGCATTACTGTATGCACTGTGCCTCCCTCTGCCATATACTGCCGTTTCCATAATTTGGTCTATCCATCATCTAAATTGTTTTTTGTGTTTATTGTACCTTGGGCACCAGTTTAGAACTTTCTTGCTTCATTTTTCTGTTCCTCTTGCCATATGGCCCGCCGTTTCCACTTAAGTTATTTATTATTATTGTAACATCTGCTACATTTATTACTCTTCTTGTCGATATATTCTTTATATTATTTATTATTTTCTTCCCTATCCTTACATCGTTCCATTAATCTTTAGTGAGCGCCTAAGTTTGAGGTCCATATGTTAGTACTGGTAGTACACAAGTATTGAAAAGCTTTATTTTAATTACATTTAAGAATTACGGAGTTTCAAACATATTGCACTTATGATATCTGATTTCTATACAAATTTACATATCTTCGGCTTATAAAATTAGGTAATATTTTTGATAGCACTTGATTCACACGCATCAAACTACTATGAAATTATTATTTGTAACTATTTTATTGTTGAACACTTGTTTTTCAGATTCACTCTAGAAGGAATAGAACTCAAATTATTCTCAGACATCGACGAAGTCCTAAGTTCTCCAGTCCGTGACTTAAACCACGGCTTAGCGAAATTAACATCGGGAGAAGCAACTGTCGTGTTCGATTACTTTTCAGACAATAGTGTTGAGATGAAAGCCAGTCTGCAGAGTCTACTCGTTGAGGATATTCGACCTGATACAAGTATTGCTATACGAAGGTAACTAATACTTGCCATACGAAAATGGCATTTTCACGTGTAACATTTATTACTTTTACGTCTCTTATGTGTTGTACACTTCAAAAACTAGGGAAAGCTTTGACCTAATCATATTTTCGTCTTAGTTTTTTTTTAATTGAAAAACTAAATCTTTTTAAAATCAAATTTATATTGAAATAATTATTAATCTGAACTTTATATTGAAATCTGATAATTTCATAGCTTTTCTCAATTTCACTTAATTTTAGAATTATCTAATAATTTATTTACAATGCAGCGGTCCGTTTATATGTAACTACATGAAAGTGTTTTGTTGTGTTGTATTTTAAAATCATACATGTTTTATCGTTATGAAATACAGTGTATAACTTCATTCGTTTTAATGATTTATTTGGTTTAACCCAATACCCATACATTATTTCTTCCTTCCCTATAACGACATCTCTCTATAACGTATAAAGAAAAGAAAGTGTGAAAAAAAGAAAGTAGAAAGAAAAAAGAGTTTACACTGTATTTATAAAAAATATTTCTTGTAGAATCTTCCAATCCCAAGGCGGTGGATCCCGGTCATCCGGTGGAATAGCCGTAGTGCGGCCTGCGTTACTTGAGCTCTCTGTGCGAAGATCGTCCCGTGCCATTAGCGTCGATCTTAGAGTGGAAAAGACGAGACTGAACTTGGCTCCACCCTTCTTGATCAATTTAGTCAGGACTCTTCTCAGCGCTATGCCTGGTAAGTCTTAACATAGGTATCGTTCATAAAATGCTTAGTAAGATCAACGTTTACGCGGGAAAACATTACATGTAGTACATAGTTACTGTATTTAATTGGCTTAGAACGAACACTAGGAAAACATATTGAATAGAACAAAACTAAAACTCGAGAATATAGCTTTAGTATACAAATTGTATATCTACAAAAATAGTTATATTAAGTCCTTACATATGAAATTGGCGTATTTCGTACTGGCCACTTTAATCACGATGTTCTCCTCTTTGGTAAGGAATTCCAAATTCAAATTTGTACAGCTATTTACTCATGTATTTGTGCTTCGATGACCGTCATTCATTTGTTTTTTCTTCTGTTTTTTTCTGTTTGCGTCACTCATTTTACAAAATGGAAAACTTAAAGTATCGCATTATTTACGAGTACGAGTTCCGCCGTGGCACTAGTGCTGCGGAAACGACTCGAAGGGTGAATGGTGTGTATGGCGGTCATGTTGCAAAAGAAAACACAGTTAGTTTTTGGTTCCAACGTTTTCGTTCTGGAAATTTCGACCTGCAGAACAAGCCCCGTGGACGGTCTGAGACCCAAGTTGATAATGAAGTATTGAAGGCTATTGTGGAAGCGGGGATCCATCGCAAACCACGTCCGAGTTAGCTGCAGGCTGCGGTGTTAGTGATAAAACGGTTTTAATTCACTTGAAGCAAATTGGGAAGATTAAAAAGCTTAAAATATGGGTACCTATCGAATAGACTGAAGCAAACCGGCAAACGCGCGTCGACTGCTGCGTTACATTACTGAACCGTCACAATAATGAAGGTATTTTAAACCGAATCATTACCTGTGATGAAAAATGGATTCTTTACGATAATCGGAAGCGCTCAGCGCAATGGTTGGATCCTGGCCAGCCAGCCAAATCCTGCCCCAAGCGAATATTAACCCCAAAACAGTTACTTGTAAGCGTTTGGTGGACTAGTGCCGGTATTGTTCATTGCAGTTTTCTCAAATCTGGCCAGACTATTACGGCTGATGTCTATTGTCAGCAATTGCAAACCATTATGGAAAAGCTAGCGGCTAAACAACCTAGGCTGGTCAATCGCTCCACGCCACTGCTACTTCACGACAACGCTAGACCAACACTGAAGCAGACGGCTACCAAATTAGAAGAGCTTCAATTGGAATGTCTAAGACATCCTCCGTACTCCCCGGACCTTGCTCCAACAGATTACGATTTTTTTCGAAATTTGGACAAGAAGTTGTCCAAATTTCGAAAAGGGAAAAAATTTAACTCTGATGGGGCAGTCGAAATCGCCTTCACAGATTTTATTGATTCCCGTCCGACTGGTTTTTTTTTAGTAAAGGAATGAACTACCTATGAGATGGCAAAAGTGCATAGAAAAAATGGTTCATACTTTGATTAATTAAATATATTATATTTAAAAATATTCTACTTTTTGTTCCTCCCATACAAAACGCCAATTTCATATGTAAGGACCTAATATTTGGTTTTATCAACATATCATGGTTGTACATTATTTAAGTAAGTAATAAAACATTTTTACTAACGATATAATCATAATACTTTTTATTACAGGTGATAAAACCATGGACGGTGGCGTGGTAAACCATGGCTACGTAGGTGATCCGCCTAACCGTGGTAACAATAACAGAACTGGAAGGTTTCCCAGCTCGAGTGATTCTACCAGCGGTTATTATTCTACGGGTATGTCAATATTAGAGTTATACACTTTGAACATCCTTTAGCACTGAACGAAAATACTATATTTATCTACCTCATAATATCCGTACGTACGAGCGTTGGTCTAGTGGCTTCAACGTGCAACTCTCATTCTGAGGTCGTGTTCGAATCCCGGCTGTGCACGAAAAGACTTTCTGTCTAAGTGTGTATTTAACACAAATGATCACGTAACACATACTGAAATCTGAGGCCCCCACCTTAAAAACTTGAAGCGCTAATGTATTTTTTAAATATATAACAGATTTGTAACATAGAAGTCTTAACGTTTTTGTTTACTTGGTTATATACTTAGTATTAAAAAAAGCCGTAATTATAATTTTCTTATTGATTTTTTTTATTACAGCAACGTCGGTGCCCGAAGAGAGACCCAGCCTATCAATATCAATACAATGCCGACAACCCGAGATAATGTTCTTTACCGACCTTAATAAAACTGAAGGACACGCCCTTCTTCTCAGGACAGAGCTGATTGTGGATTACTCATTCCACTCCAACACTGAATCCTTAGTAATATCCCTTGCTGGGCTTCAAATTATGTCGAAATTGCAGTCTAAATTAAAAAATCTTCCACCCCAGCTAGTACTGAAGCCGTGTGACCTTGAATTCTCAAAAAGTTTTAAAAGTATTGAGGAAGGGGTCAAAGTAAAGTTGTCGGTGTCGGAAGTCAATATGCACGTCGCAGCGACCACGATACACACTGTTTTAGGTACATTTAATAGAATAAAAAGAAGCAAAAAGTTAAGAATTTATAAGAGCTAATATCAGAACGCCATTTTTAACTTTGGCAATACTGTTCATACTGACATTTTTTTCATTTGAAGATTTAAAGTCAATCAAGTGGATTATATATATTTTAAGACCCATTTTTGTTTATAGACATAGTCGAAGAAGTGTCCTCGGAGCTGGCTGTCCCGGATGAAAAGGAGCTATTCAACTTCTCAACTTATAATCCCCAATCGGAGAAGAATGACGAGGATCTGTGGGCTCCAAAGAAAGTTGCTCCGTATCTCTCCTTTCATACCGAAGACACGTACTTACAGCCAAAGTATCCAGCTGGAAAAGTTACAGAGACATTCGTAGTTACTGTCCCAATAGTGCGCATTATGTTTGAACTTGAACAGACTGCAAGGATTCCGGTTCTGTTGGTTAAGGTAGGAGAGTTTTGTTACCAAATATTCTGAAGTTTATAAGAATATATATATATATGTGTTTATATTATTTAATCTATGGAATATAATTCCTTATGAGATTTAAAGTTTTCAATGTTTTCCCATGCTTATACTCTTTCACTTAGCTCTTGGTTGGAGTAGGCCTTACAAAAGACTAAATACTAATAGGATATGAGAAAAAAAAATACTCAAAATTAAAATTCAAAATTCAAAAATCATTTATTCACGTAGGTAACACAATGTAATTGTGATTCGTATTAAAGAAATAAATATTAATTTCTAATTTTACATTTACTGCCAGTTCTCAAATCAAGGGCGTAGAACGGAAGAGAAGAACTGGCAATAAACTCTCCGCCACTCTTTTTAATCGCCATGTTTTTTTTTTTTTTTACACAACGTTTGTAATGAGCTGCAACCATTACACCATGTTCCAATGAATTTTAAGTAATTAATAATAATAACATAAATAAAAACAATTGTCCCCTATCAGTAGGAGGCATGGTGAAATAGAGCACACTTAATTCTCTGGAACAACACCAAAAATAGTCGAAATATTAACATACTAACGCATTCAAGTACACCATCACCAAGTAGCACCCGTTCACGAAGACGCATGCAGCATCGGCCCCCTCCCATATTAGGGAGAGAGAAACCCACATGACCCCACAAGCAATGACATTTAAGCGAGCAACTGAGAAGAATAAAAACCATTCTAGCACTCGATGTTTCTTAATATGACTAACAGTTATACTAACTTCACCTATGGCGACAAAATTAAGAAATTATCACAAATCTGATATAAAAATCCGTCATTTTCACCAAACCCTTTTCACAACAGATGTCTACCGAGCTTACTATATCAGAATGGACAGGCGAGGCGCGTGGGTCGGGAGGACTGCGTCTTCAGGCCAGTGTATATAATGATCATTTGTCTGTATGGGAGCCGCTTATAGAGCCTGTGGTAGAAGATAACAAACAGAGCGCCTGGGAACTCATTGCCACTATATTCCAGGTACGTTAGTGTTTTAACAAATATATCACTCCTTAAGGAATAAATTTGTATAAAGATCATATTTCATGAGGTCTTGCATATTGATAAACATAATTTTGTTAATTATTCTTAGACTTTTTTTTCCATGTTATGTCATGTCCATAGTGAGTTTTATTTGTTGTTTGTGGAGGTTTTTAAGGATTCATATATACTTATTATTTATAAATCTGACCGCCGCGCCGATGCGTTATCCAATGTAAAAATGCATTAAAATCACTAAAAAAAATTACTTAAAACTTTACCTCAGTGAACCTTTGGGAAATACTAATAACTGAATGAATGATAGCTTATTCTTAATGAATACTTTTAGGCCAAATCGTACCCAATGTCGGCACGTTTGATTCAGAACGAGCAAGAGGAATCAGTATCAGACCATGTCCCACAAACAAAGAAAAAGAACAAGAAACGCAATGAATTTGGTTCGGAGACGTCTGCAGATGAGGCTGATACAGATAATGAGATGACTTTTATACGTAGTCCTTATGATAAAGAAAATAAGGGCTATAACGTCGATTTTGAAGCTAGCAGTATGTCGTTCTTAAGGGCATTGGATATTGACGAGTCAAATTCAGACAGCGAAGGAGAGAAGATGGATAAAATGTCCGATGCCATGGGACATTTGTTTATGGAGTAAGAGTTATTTACAAGTAATAATAAGAAAAACAATTTAGTTAGATAAAAACAATTATCATAGGTGTTACTTTTTAATATTAAGAGAATTGATTAACATGTTGTCTCACGTTGCGAGGAATAAACCAAGTATCAAAGCTAAACGATTACTTATTGATGAAAACCACATATAAATTATTAAAAACATATTCATTTATAGCAGTGAATCAAGTGCTGAAGAAGTCAGCAATGATGAAGATTCCTCGGCCCCAGAACAGAGCGATAAAGACGAAGAGCAGCCTGAAACTCTCATTGATGGAGAGGAGAAAAAAGAACAGCACAAAGCGGTTACAGTTCAGGTACATTTTTATCTATATATTACACGAAAATTTTAGGGTATTAATCACTAATTACTCCAAGCATAATCCCATTTCGAATTCCATTTTTATGAAACAAGCCAATCAAATTATTAAATATGAAAACTGTCTTATCTCTCTAATAATTGTCGAATAAATAGTAATGTCATTCATACATACATTCCATATTTCATTGATTTTGTTTGTGCAATTTAGGAACCAGAAAGAGAAGATAGCGTGGAGTCGACGTCTGAAGAGAATCGTCTATGCACATACGTAGTGTTGGAAGCCCGATCACTACTCTCAGTGACTTTAGGGCCTTCCGCCGCGCGTGTGCTTAGAGCACTAAGTGAGGCTGTATTGGACCGAACGGCTGTGGTATCTGCAATTGTTGCTCCTGGTTTGACGCTCGTCAATGATATAGGTAATACTTATGAATACCATTGTGCTAGTAGAGACTTAAAATCTACAAAAAATGTCTTGTAATCCTTCGGTATGCCCCAAATATTGCGTTTTAATCGAATTAGGGCAGAGGTGATTGATAAGACTTTGAAATGCCAAAAAAATGTAATGTTTTTGTTTATTTTCTTATTTTTTATTACATGACAGCCTTATTTTAATGAATTTTGAAAAACCTCTTGCACCTTCTTTCATATTGTATCATGTTTAAATTCGAATCGCAGATATCATATATTGAATAATGTATACAGGACCTGGTTCCTCAGTGCAACTGAGAACTAAAACCGAAACAGACTTGACTGGTAACGACAAAGTTCTCGCCGAAGCTGACTATGACCTTGATACCAGCAGACCTAGCACTCCAGGTAAGGCTGTGGGAAGTGCATCACCGGCAGAATATATCGTGGAGCTGTTATTCGTTAAAAAGATACTTAAGACATAAATTTTATAGGTTATGATACATCCGGGGCAGACTTGCTGGATGAAATGGAAAACGAGTCTAAGCAAGAGATGACGGATATAAGTGATGAATGGGACTGGTAAGTTATAAACAAAAAGTACACATTCCTGACGCTTCGTCGTAATATTCGTGGTTAAAATGGTAATTGCTTACGATATAAATTTTCCATATAATCTAATATTCGATACAATTTAAAAAAAAAAAAAAACGTGTGGCACTCGCGGACTGCTAGTCTAGTGAAAGTTATAATAAATACTCTCTTAAAATTATTCATAGCTATTCACATACCCTAGAAAAATTCTAAAAGCGTTATTACACATAAAAAATTCAAAAGTATAGACATTAAAGATGAAAAAAAAATGAATTAGTTTTTGCCAATATTTAATAAATATTAATATTTAAGAAATTTCAAATAAAGATTCTGAAAAGGAGGAAATTTCAATAAAAAACTCTCACAACTCTATTCCATTATTTATAACTTTAATTTAACCTGAAAATAGGTCTGTCTACATTTTTAGGATTCGCGCGTGGCGTCAAAAGCGACTACCAATTAATTAATTTATTTAAGGTATTGAATATTTTTTTAAATTTGAAAAAATTATGGTGTGTTCTGAACACTATAATTAATTTATTCCCGTTGGAAATTTTACTTAAAGTTAATTTTTCAACAAGTTAAATAATTGTTAACTAACGAAATTTTCTCGAACGACCGTCTTAATTGTAAGTGAAAAAAATTTTTAATAATGGTCGTAAAAATATTTCGCTTCTAGAGCCTTTCTTACATACATACTTAACAAGATCGTGCCATAAAAGTTAAAAAATATTTATACTTTGTTTATAACAATTTTTTTACTTAAACAAAAACTTAAAAATCAAGTAATGTTGTTAAAAAATTTTTTTTTTTCTAAATCATCATATTATTGTTTTTATATTAATACAAGATATTTATTGATTTGCAAAAAAAAATTTCCCGCCATTTGTTGATAATTTTTTTAAACAAATTATTAAATCAATTGTTTTAAAAAAAAATTTCTAACTTTATTACATTACAAATATTATGATTGTTTAAAAAAAAATTTCCTTAATAACATATTTTAATTGTTTATAATCGTTTTTTTATATTTCTATTGTTTAAATAATTAGTTAAGAAATTTTTTTCTAAAAATCATAATTGACAATCCTCTATAAAGTAACAGAAAAAAATTTTTTTAATCAAAATTTATTGTTTATTAACTTACCAATTTGTTATAAACAAATGTTCAACTTTTATATTTTTTTCTAAAACTTCTAAAATTAACAAAAACAACATTATAACAAAATATAGAAAAAATTTTTTAAATTTTTGATTATCATGAATATTACTTTTATTAAAAAAATTTTTTCTTTTTTTTATAGACTTTGTTATATATGTTTGTTTTTGTTAATTTTAGAAGTTTTAGAAAAAAATATAAAAGTTGAACATTTGTTTATAACAAATTGGTAAGTTAATAAACAATAGAATTGTTGATTAAAAAAATTTTTTTACTTTATAGAGGACTGTCAATTATGATTTTTAGAAAAAAAAAATTTCTTAACTAATTATTTAAACAATAAAATATAAAAAAACGATTATAAACAATTAAAATATGTTATTAAGGAAATTTTTTTTTAAACAATCATAATATTTGTAATGTAATAAAGTTAGAAATTTTTTTTAAAACAATTGATTTAATCAATTTGTTTAAAAAAATTATCAACAAATGGCGGAAATTTTTTTTGCAAATCAATAAATATCTTGTATTAATATAAAAACGATAATATGATGATTTAAAAAAAAAAAATTTTTTAACAACATTACTTGATTTTTAAGTTTTTGTTTAAGTAAAAAAAAATTGTTATAAACAAAGTATAAATATTTCTTTAACTTTTATGGCACGATCTTGTTAAGTATGTATGTAAGAAAGGCTCTACGAAGCGAAATATTTTTACGACCATTATTAAAACATTTTTTTCACTTACAATTAAGACGGTCGTTCGAGAAAATTTCGTTAGTTAACAATTATTTAACTTGTTGAAAAATTAACTTTAAGTAAAATTTCCAACGGAATAAATTAATTATAGTGTTCAGAACACACCATAATTTTTTCAAATTTAAAAAAATATTCAATACCTTAAATAAATTAATTAATGTGCCGTAGTCGCTTTTGACGCCACGCGCGAATCCTAAAAATGTCACGCACAGACCTATTTTCAGCGTTAAATTAAAGTTATAAATAATGGAGATAGAGTTCCGGGAGCTGAGAGTTTTTTATTGGAAATTTCCTCCTCTTTCAGAATCTTTATTTGAAATTTCTTAAATATTAATAGTTTATTAAATATTGGCAAAAAACTAAATTCCATTTTTTTTTCATCTTTAATGGTCTATAACTTTTGCAATTTTTTATGTGCTAATACACGCTTTTAGCACATTTTTCTAGGCGTCATTCCGGTTCGAATGAGCTATCGCACATAATTTTAAGAGCAGTATCTCTATTTTGTTCCATTTTCAACTTGTCGACAGACTATGCCGCGGTAAAGCTATTGCATAATTTTTTTTTTCAACTTATGCAATTATAATATTATTATGCAGTAATTATTTTTTCTTTGATAAATAAATTCAATCTACCACTCTACCAGACTTAGACTAACTCGCCTATATAGTCTGTCTCACTCTAACGCGCACCGGCTGCACCGATCTCGTCAGAGAGATGTGAATACGCAGTATGCGTTCTGTCCCGCTCTAACGCGTAAGGTTTTTTTCGTTACGGAATTTCTGGATTCAGTCTCCACGCTCGAGGCCCGCGATAGAAGCTATGCAATAGCTTAAAAAATCATTTAGAATTACTGTATTACAGTTTCGAAGGTGGCTTCGGATATAGCGCAGTGGGTGGGGCCTCTCATACTTCTCCGGGAGCACCGCCTACCGCAGATTCCTTACATCGACGACTTACAGACAATACGCTGCATATCAAACTTCAGGACTTCGATAACCTCACTGTAAGTCACTATTCATTCGTTGACGATAGATAATTTACATTAATTAATTTTGTGTTTGATAGAGCAGTGTTTGCCTAGTGGTTTCAGTGTGCGACTCTCATCTCTGAGGTCGTAGGTTCGATCCCCGGCTGTGCAATGGACTTTCTTTCTATATGCGCATTTAACATTCGCTCGAACGGTGAAGGAAAACATCGTGAGGAAACCGGCTTGCCTTAGACCCGAAAACTCGACGGCCGCGGCGTGTGTCAGGCACAGGAGGCTGATCACCTACTTGCCCATTAGATTGACAAATGATCATGAAACAGACCTAAAAACGTTGTAGCGCCACAATGTTTTCCAACATAAAATCACCTACAGTGTAAGAAATAAAATTTCAATGCCGCCAGTGCTAACATTTTTGTAATATGGTCTTCTAATCTCTTCAAACTCTATTCTCCTTCAACATTAAAACATCTATTCCCGAACTATTGAGCTGCTTGTCAATTACATAAATATTATCTCATTTAATTTATTTGTTGACAAAATCTTGCATCACTTTAGATTCTATGTCCCCAACGTGCGGTGTCCAAGCTACATGTTTTGCATCCAAGTAAAAACGGTACGCGATACTACATTGCTGTCGAAAGAACATCCAAGTTCAACAACAAGAAGATTGTTGTTAGATCACCTTTACAGGTATAATTTTTGAATTTGAATTTTATTTTTATTTTTACATTTAAGGTACAGAAACAGAAAACAGATTGGTTAAATACATACAGTTATTACACACTAAACAACATTTGTAAACCTGAAGTCCAATTAGATCTGTACACAGCATTTTAGTGGAATCTTCAGAGCTGGTTTACCAAATATTAACATATGAAAATATGTTTTCTTTAGTAAAAAAAACCAGTTATAAATTCGTGTCATCGAACGCGAATCTTTATGCAGACAAATTCAAGAAGTATTGATTATACTAAATTCTTGTCTATGGATTTTTTCATACATTGTTACAGTAAGGATGTTATATTTTTTAAATTTGTCATTAAATCTAATTTAGGTTCGCAACGAAACGTCATATGCCCTGGAATTACTGTACCGACAATCAGAGCTAGAAGCAGCCGGTGTAGAATGTGTGGGCTCAGTGAGGAATCCATTCTGCGGACTTCTACGCCTTGCTGTTATTGCACCAGACGACACTTTCAACGTTCCTCTTTACGTGGCTTACCACTGTAGACTCTATGTTGTACCTACTAATTTCGAGTAAGTTTCCCTTCTGTAGAATGCGTAATTAACCAATATACATAATTTTTAATAGCAGAATTCCAACAAGTTATGTAAACTTTTTTCCATTGCTTTGTAAAATCTTCGTTAAAATTTTAGTGGAAGTAGTAAGAGTTATTTAGTTTTGTACAATTACCAAACATTAAATTTTTTGCAAACACTTTTGGTCCAGAGTAATCTTAAAAGTAATGAGAGGCTGTAGAGATGTCATTTTTACGTTTTAGAAGTTTCAAAGCAAGTTCACAAGGTATGTGGTGGATGGACCTCATCAATGACATTGGGACTCCTCGAGACATAATGTGTCCAGCGTTGGAAGACAATGATTCCAGTGTATTTGCTATGAGAGTATTGCCTGTTGAAGGTAAATTTATTTAAATAATGTTTTTTTAATATTTCATGGCTAATCTCTTTTTCCTTCAATCGTTTTAATTTTCAATATGAAATTCAACGTTTTCGATATAATTATTTATTGCAGGATGTCAGTCAAGCAAAATAAATAGATCAATTCCGAACTTACTGATACGGATCGTAGCGCCATTGGCACTTCACAACAGGGTACCACATGCCCTACAAGCCCAGGTCAAAATTTCCACGGAAAAGTCAGAAAAAAATACGGAAGACTTAAAAGTGAGGTTGGAAGCTGGAGAAAAATCGCATTTGTATACGTTACCTCCTGGAAAGCCGATACGGTTCACATTAGATGTTCATTACTTAGGCTTACCTTGGACTGGAGGATTTACCTATTTACCTGGTAAGTGGTTTTAATATATTCAAAGATATATTATTTGTACCAAAGTTTTTGACATAATTAGTAGCATGTGTCGAGATAATATAATAATGAAAAAAAACAATCAATCCTCTTTTGTTTTCTTAAAAATAAAGTCTGCGTCGTCACTTGTTTGTGTCTTGAAAGGTTTAAGGTGACTACTCAGAAAAATAATATAAAATTTAATTAAAGATAATTGCGTAGTTAATAGATTTCTCTAAACTAAAAACTAATAACGACCTTCTTAAAAACGTCTTTATGACCACGGCTGTACAGCACTCAAAATGTTGAGTTATATATGCCTTGAAGAAGTTCATTTAAACCTTTGTAAATTTCTGACACTGAACTTGCGATTCTGTAACTCACTTTACGAACTCACACAGCGGTTTTCGCAGCGGCGGTCGCGCTCAAATCAGTCGTGAAGCAGTCATTTTATGATTTGGCATTCTGATAAGGTCCCTCCTTGTAGTTTATTGTTTATGGTTTGGTTTTTGACATTTTTTTTTGTTCATAAGATCATGCTAATGTATTTTTTAGATATGAACGAAAAGACGATAAGTATGACGACAGAATGTGAGACGGAGGGTGGTAATAAACGACTCGTGATTCGAGCGCGGTTAGAGCAAGCCGCCACTTTGAGGCTACTGTTGTACGCGCCCTATTGGATAATTAATAAAACTGGATTACCACTACAGATAAAGGTAAACATTTTATATAATGTGAAAATGTTTGCCACAGGATTGTCTAATATGTCAGTATGATGAATAGTACAAGAAGTGACGCGGGTGTCCCGCCGACCAGCTGGCTCCAACTTAGCTTAGCTTATAAATATCATGAGAATATATTTTACGGAGTATCGTCACTCGAGCCCTGCTGCTTAGCTTCTCGGCCATATATCTGCCTGATCGCGTGGCTATTAGGGGTCCTAATTTTAAAAAAAGTATAAGAACTTTAAGAACACGTTTCAAACTTAAATTGAGTGCCGATCTTTCTTCATCTATATATCTTTATCTTCGTTATCTAGTTCAAGTATGAAGTCACACATATTCGCATGTGGGACAAAGTTACACATTTTTGCGATTCTCTATGAAAAGCCTTTTGTGTCTTCCAAACCGTATTCCAACTCCAGGGAATGAGGCAAATGCGTGGAGATATGGACGGATAAAGATGCCGAATGCCTGCATAACTGTATCGTTTTCATACGCTTACTACGTGTTTAGGGTCGATCAGATGTTTGCTACGAAGTAACAGAAGAGCCGTTACTATGGTGTGAGAGTGGATCGCGTTTGTGTCGACGTGGTGAAAGAGTACGGGTACGCGCACATCAGTCGGGATGGTCGCGAGCTACGCGATTGTATGCAGAGTCACCGGGTCTGTTAGTCTGTGCTCACACTGAAAGGAAGATCAATTATCGGATATTGCTGCAAGTAAGATATTCCGCTAAGCAATTAATTAAACCAAGTAATTCGTGTATGTTAGTTGTAAACAGTATTATTATTTATTATAAACGAATCGAAAGTCTCTTTCTTATGTGATAGGTACAAAATGAACTACCTAAACCCTTTTTCACTGATAAATAATATTTCCGTACAAATACTTTAATATAAAACACTCACACGATAAATGCAGTCTGTAAGTTCATACATATTTAGATTATATATTTTAGGACGCACTTTTTTTCCATTTATATTATTTTCATATTATATTTGACTGTAGGTGACCCTATCCGAACTATCGCCTCAACTGACAAAGATCGTGACCCTCTTACCATACTTCATTGTTTACAACGACACCAAGAAGCATTTGCGTTTCATGGAGGAAAACGAAACGGCTGATCTGTGGATAGACTTAGCTCCGCAGCAATGCACACCGTTTTGGCCACAATCTGACTCTATGGCTATGCATTGCAAGTTCCGGGACTCAATGGTCGTGTCGCAACACTTTCCTATTGCTGAGAACCATTTCACAGTTCTGAGGATGGATAAAGGAGTAAGTTTATCTTTACTTGAGTTAAATAAACTGTTGGAAGGCTTATTATTGATGCTACTCCAATTAAAATCTTTTCTGGTTCACTTTTTATTGTTTATGAATCAATTAGTTGAAAAATATTCTGGGAAGTCATAATTAAAGTGATACGAGATTATTATATAATTATTAAATAATTTGAATCTTATAAAGTTTAATAGGTATGGGAATAAAACCTTTCTTAATTACAAATCGTTTAAAAATACTTCAACATTATCTATAATTTACTTAATTCTATATTTTAAATATCTTATTATTTTAAAGCTTTATTCTTATATAAATAAATAACTTAAAACTTTCGTTTCGGTCTAATTGGTCTCTCCAAAGACAGGGTTCCATCATCGTGAAGGATATAGGCTGTTCCTGTAGATTTATGAGTCCAGATCTTGGTAGCTTTGAGATGGGCATCGCTCTGCTCTGCTGCTAATGATTTTGGAGGTGCTGGTTGTACGGGTGATGAAAATGATGACGATACTGATAGTGACTGAGGCTGTTGGTTTCTGGATGAAGTTACCTGAAATTAAATTTATTTATAGCTGTCTCTCGCGTGTTGATTTTGTCGTAGCCTAACTTTCTTCATTAAATAAACTATTCAACATTTTTCGATTCCAGCTCAACTTTCTTCAAGCTGTAGTTACTGAAAAAAAACGTGTGTGTACTTATGTTCACGCGTTAGTAGTTATACTTCTTTGGCGTAACAAGATAAAAATCTTTACAAAAAGTTTATTCTACGTTTGTAGAAAAAACGACACTAGCAATAGAAAAAACTAGGTTTACTACTAGGTTTCTTGTGACGGTGTGCGAGCGCATCGTAAAAATGTAATGTCATCATTTTTCCCTAACGCGCCTAAAGAACTATAACTTCAAAAAAGTTTTTAACTTTATAATATTAGCGAGGAATATGTATACTCATATCTTCAAATTCATTATCACAAAGCATTAGACGACTGTGTTTTGTTACTTTGATGTATTTTCGAATCAAGAAGAAAACTTGTAAATGCTTTATGAAAAATTATTTGCAGAACATACAATAGTAAATTTTTGGCACGCTTTATAAACTTACCGTGTAATGTGGAACGTTGTAGGAGTTAACACGTTCTAATTTGGAGTTTTCGTAATTCATTAAGGGCAAATTTGCAAAGTTTTCTAATTTATATGAGCTTGATTTTACAATCGTAGGCACATTATTTGTGTATGAAATTTCGAAATCAGCAACGTCTCTTAAATTATCAGGCTTCGGTAATCTTTCTTCTTTCATTGTGTCACTGTTTGTATATAATGTATGGCTATTTGAGTCACTGTTTGGTTCATGATTTATAACGTCAGGATTAAATTCTTGTTCAATAACTCCATTTAAGTATGAAATTTGTTCATTTTGATGAGATTCTTCTGGACTTAGGTATGGACTGATATCAGGCTTAACGTATGGATCCCTTCCTATGTTGTTAGTGGATTTGATTTGAACGAAGTTGCTTGGTGGCGTATCATCTATGTGGATTACTTGGTCACTATCGGGGAACTGAATCGCTTTGTTTAATTGAAAGTCCTGCTCACTATTATAGGCGTTACTCGGTCTCTTTTCGAAGGGTCTCGAATATCTGTCTTTTTCCGCTGCCAATTCGAGTATCCTATCAAAATCCTGTTTCGATAGATGTTTTATGAGATTTTTAAAATCTTCATCGCCTAAACCTTCCTTGTTTTTATTTACCTTAACAGGTTTTCGGGCGGGGTGATCCCCGTCCATGTATTCAGGGGGTGGCGTGTAAGAAAATGGAGTTCGTACTAGTTGAGGTGGCGGCGGCAGTTTATAAAATCTCGGCGGTGGATTAGAATAATATTTCGCCCTTTTAATCCGCGTGTAATTATTTCTGTAGTCACTGCAAATTACCGATGTGATCACTTGTAATACGCATATCACTATAATCAGCCTTAACGTCATTTTGTCCACAAGTCGCCTGAAACTGAGCGGAAGTGAAACCGCGTTCCGAACCTTATAGGTGCGTAATCGAAAGTTGTAAATTAAGTTAGTGGTGAACTGAACAAATATGACGTCCAGTGATGTAACGATTTAACTTTCAATGTATAATAGTTGTTGAAGTTCACGACTTCGTCTGCGTTAAATAAAAGATTATTAAACTATTAAAAATGAATAACTTCTGAAGTAAATTATAAAGTGAATATAGGCCATTGGTCGTAATAGCTTTATAGCGCTGTGCATTTTTTACATTAATATTCTAATTGAATTATAATCGCCATTTTTTTGTTTGTTTTGTCTTTTATAAAATAAAGGAAGAAGTGCTTATAAATATGTAAGACTTAAATCAATAAAGAAAGTGTAGTAAATTAATTATTGTTTCCAATGGCTTAGGTACAAGAAATCATTTTTAAAATTATAATATAAATAAGATTGTTGTAAGTACGTAAGTAATTACAAAAAATAATGAGTTTTATTTTATTCCGTTTTCAGTCAGCTATCAGCGTAGAGGTAACAGGTGGTACGGACCGACCGTTCACGATCACGTATAAGCCATATAGCGCAGGCGATTCACCTGTACGCATCGACAATTTGTGTGAAGATCTTTTCCTGAAGTTACATCAGGTATATTCATACATAAATTATATTTTAATAAAACGCAATACTTCATAATTGAGACTCCGAATGCTTTAATACAGAACCTTCGTGCTTGCCTATCAATACCAAATAATCCCTATGTACAGAATTTACTTTGATAGCGGCTGCTTTATTATCCTTGTAGTTTGTACTACGATATATATATTGAATTGATGCATTCTTAAAGAAAAGGTGATTCTTTTTAAAGAGAAATTCAATAAATGCTCTTATTTATCAGATGAATTCGGGGCAAGTGGCGTTACTCAGTCCCTACCAATCAATGTTGTACACTTGGGATGATCCCCTAAAGGATAGAAATCTAATTTGGAACATTTACAATAACAAGGGTAAAGGATTCACTGCTGATTTCTCGCAAGATGGGTAAGTGCAATCTTCATGTTTCACGTAAAATCTTGCGGCCGCGATGTAGGTTATTATCACGATTATTATTGTTTTCATCACAGCATGTGTGGTACAAAACTTTGCAAAAAAAAAGATTACGATTATAAATTTTGTTATTGTCTTGAAAATTTTATATTATTTGTTTTCAGTTACGGCGAAGAGAAAGTTTGTTTTCACACTGTGAAACAGTCAACACATGTCGTCACTAGTAGTGTGACATCTAAGCTTTCTTCCACTTTTAAACGACTTACTCCCAAATCACCTGAACTATGCACCTCCAGCAGTGACGACTCCGATATGTCCGATCCACCGGAACATATACATAAGACCAAGAAAATGAGGAAAGATAAGGTGGTCGTGTACTGGATATCTTATATGGACGGTTATCAAAGAGTTTTTGTATTAGCCCAAGATGAACGTATCGCGTATCAATACAGAATGAGCATATACGCTGAAAGAAGCAATTACGAAGTATTCTTGGCCTTGTCCAGCGTCAGTCTTTCTATTTGCGTTCCGACTGATAACAAAGTAAAGGAATTGTCCTATATCAGTATATCGGATTCACTTCCACGCTGGGAAGTCAACGTTAGCAATAAATGGAAACAGTTAGCTCCAGACCTCACAGCTTGGATAGAAGAGAAATACCAAACTGAGCAAAAGAAATGTCAACTCAAGGAATATCTCCACATAGATTTAGAGAAGATGCAAATGACGAAACCATTCTTTTCTGAACTACGAAGAACGTATAACCCTGGAGTCTGGTTACAGTTGCGCAAGTCAGAAACCTACACCTACTGTCATATGAAACTCCAAAGGCTGCAAATAGATAATCAGTTGCACGAAGCAGTGTTCCCAAGTGTCTTATACCCTGCTACATTGCCAGCCCATTTAAAATCAAAGAGAGATAAACCGTGTATAGAAGTTCAGCTACTAAAACAGTATCGGCCGTCATTGAACCATGACATCTACAAAAACTTGAAAGTTGTGATACAAGAGTATTGTGTTAATTTAGATAGAGGCTTCGTGAACCACGCTTTTGATATACTGAATCACTGGAAGGTGGATGAAAAGCCAGCGGTGAGGTTAAGGGCCGACTTGGCGCTCGTTCATATGCCTCTACCGATCATAGCCGTGAAGGGACAGACAAATGCTCAAAGGAGTGTTATTTTCGAGTTTGTACATTTATCACCGATCAAATTGGTCCTTAGTTTGTCATCTAGAGGGTACACGGGTGATGAAGGTAGTCCCAGTAAAAGATTTGGGGCTCAGAAGGAAAACAGACCGAAGTTGTTTAACAGCGATTTATTGGAGTTTTTGTTTAATTCCTGGGGATCATCTTTGTGTGACATGAAAGATGTCGTTTTAAGGTTAGTAGCGTTATTTCTGGTAATTAAAAAGAGTGGCGGAGAATTTATTGCCAGTTCTTCTCTTCCGCTCTACGCCCTTGATTTGAGAACTGGCAGTAAATGTAAAATTAGAAGCATTTAATGTATATTTCTGACGTTCATAAGTGTACATTGTGTTACCTATATGAATAAATGATTTTGACTTTTGATAGCGACATTATGTAGAAATCTGTTTCTTGGATTGGCTGTCTCTGGTATAATTTAAAAAGTTTCAATTTTGTAATTTTTTATTAATAATTAACATCTATTACAGAATGAGCTACCTAGAGCTAAGAAATGCTCCAATAACAATACCAGCATTACTGGATGCCGCATCACGTCACTACTGGCAGCAGCTAGTCCAGCAGTTCTACGTACTTGTCTTAGGACTGAACATCCTTGGAAATCCTTACAGCTACATTGGGGACTTTACTAAGGCTTTGAAATACTTTTATGAGCCGTATATGGTAAAGAATCTTTGAATAATGTACTTAATATGAATTGATTTTATTTATTTAAAGCGTTATATTATAGTTTATATATTTCTAAATTAGAATATATAAATAATCAATCTAAAATGTATAAGAATTATGGAAATTGTAACCACAAACAATATGCTATCCACTGAGCCTTATTTAGCCCTTAATTTATGTAGTGTTTCAATTTATTTATTCGAAGGCCTAATAAAAATACGTGACTGAACACAAAAATATGTATTACAACAGTAAATTCTGATTTAGGGTTCTTGTTCTCGTCGGATGTCTGCCACATCTCAAGCTGTGCTAAGCGGCGCTACTCGACTGCTAGCAGCAGAGTCACCCCCCCTCGCTACGCCCTATAAGTCCATCAAAACGACGCTAGGTTAGTAAATTTAGATCTATTATTTATTTTGGCTATAACTTAATTTTATTTAAAAAAATCAATAGTCAAAAGATTTTTCAAACTTATTTTAACTTTTAAATCTCATTGAAAGACTTTCAATTAATGATATTGCTTTTGATTTTAGGCAGCAAAGAAATTATAGATGACCTGCCGAGCTCTGTGCTAGAAGCCAACAAAACTAACCCTGCGAGTATTGCACTTGCCGTTACTGGAGTTATTGCAAGACCTACGCTGGGTAAGAACTTTGAATAGATTTTTATTTGGTTTGAACTAATTAAATGTTCTTATGTCTATTATTGTATTGGCATTGTATTATTAGTGAGTATTACGTGTTCGTGGGGTGAAATTTTTTCAACAGTATTTTAAGCGGCTACGCCATAGTATTTTTAATTATTATTATTTCCTACATCACGCATGTCTGTTGTTTTATTATAATATTGTAAAATATATTTGTGATTTCCGGCGGTACGAACATTATTACATAAAATCTAGTCTATTTTGTATATAATATGGTAATTGTGTATGGTATCTCTTATAAAAAAAAAAGGAATCACCAACGAACATACGAAGCTAAAAATAAATAAATTGGCTTACATTAGAATTTAATTTTCTCCATGCATGTAAAGGATATGAATATTTAATATTTTTTAGTTGATGGTTTATTAGTCTTCTAAAAGCATGGTCACTCTTTATATCTAAGAAACCATTACAATTTTAATGTCACTTGCTTGTAATCATTAACGTGTCGTTTTTGTTCACTGTTCAATCTTTTGGATGAGTAGATGAAGATAGTACTATTATACGATGTAAGTACTATTATTAATTGCAGTGATTATGTACAGATTAGTCAAAACTACTAGTATAAGACTGTTTATTAAGCTTACTAACATTTCAGGCTAAAATACGATAATTCATAATGAATGTACTGTCAGTACTTTGATGGGTCTGTACATCTTTAAAGATAAGTTATATACCATTTCACTTTTTTATGCACGTGTTTTTGTTATTGATATTAAACTCTAAACACTTTTTATTTCTATCGATATTAGATACCGATATTATATTATAGATGTGGCTATAATCATATGTAATACTTGAGGGAAATGAAGTAAAATATTAACACGACCATTGAGATATTTAAAATTATTTATATATAGACATATGCCGAGAAGTATCTCGTGTGGCCTTGCACCGAACGGGCGTCGACAGTGCTGAAGCGGCGTTGCGAGCGTGCGCGGAGAGATCCGGTGGCAGGCTCGTTGCCCGTCGAAGGCTTCCCCGAGATTGCTCTACCCTGGAGGTTCGTAAATTCAGGAAGAATTTAGATACACTTTTTATCGGGACCACAGTGAATGACAAAAAAATGGTACCAATACAAGGTTTTAAGTTTATACAATATTTCAATAAAAAGAGTTGTGCAAATGTATGGCGTGTGTTAACTTAGTTACATAATAATTAGTCTATAGGTAGAAGTAGGTATAGGTATCTCTATAATATTATGTTACCTTTTTTAGGGTATTAGACCATATAGCCCATCAGCAGCCCGCGGTGCCGCCCTCTTGGCACAATTGTCCCGTGGTCATTACGCAGAAACGGACGTGTACGTGGCGCACGCACATCTCTCGCCGACATCGCTCGCTACCGTGCTCGTTACTACGCAGTAAGTAAAACTTATAAGGTTTAAACATTCACCTGGTTAATGTATATGTTCGCCCCTTGCCCCCTGGGTACGTCAAAATGGATATAAATTACAAACTTTAAACCTATTTCTACTGTATATAACATTACAAAATAATGTTACAGATTAAAAATGGTTACCCGTGATATCAATAAAATATACAGAAGCCACAGCCTAATAGAGAGTCACCAGTGCAACTGTAAAGTAAAGGCATTTGATATCCAACGACACTGCTTCTTATTTACTATATATAGGTATTACTATGATGTAGCGGATTAATTGACTTGGTGAAACTGACTAACAATGAAACTTACTTCGCGACTAGACTATAGTTCAATGTCATTGATCCCTAGGAAGATGGAACGGGCTTTGGTATGGGATGCTACTTGTGTGCCCACATTAGCCCCGTCTCACCTCCCTCGGACGAGTAAAAAAGCTGGGGCGGCCGCAGAGCAGGCGGAAAATAATAAACGGCTCAAATATAAGAGTCCAGTCTCCAAATTCCATTTTGTTCCCTTTGGAGTAGATACTCTTCGGCCGTGGGGTTCAACTGCACAGGCGCTGATTAAAGATTTAAATTGGTGCCTGGTAGGTAGTACCGGTGACTACAGAGCTGGTGCTTTCCTCACTCAACGAATAAGTATCGCAATACAGCGAGGAAATGCTGCCAGCGTTAAAAAACACTGCCACAGGGCCAAACTTTTTAAATTTGTTTTAATTATCTTTTTATTCATTTTAATTATTTTTATGATTACTTAGTAGGGGAAGAAAATTGAAAATACTGTATATTTGATTGTTTAATAACTATATAATTCAACTTATATTAACAGTGAAATTTAATTATATAGACACATATTCCTGGTCCGGCTGAGTAGTGGCAGAAACTCATGGATAGTTGAATGGGTCGTGAAATTAGAAGAATTAATCGGCGTACCCATACTAAGAGACAATAAACTTATTCTCAATATTAAACAGGTAACGATCTGCGAATGTTATTGCATGCTTTCTATTTAGTTCTTATTCTTTTTTTTTCTTTATAGAACGGGGCAAACGGGCAGGAGGTTCGCCTGATGTTAAGTGATACCGCCGCCCATGGACACTCTCAATGCCAGAGGGCTCGCGAGTGCGTTGCCGGCCTTTTAAGCATTGGTACTCTCTTTTCTTGAAGGACTACCTACCTACCTAAGTCGAATTGGTTCGGAAATACTTCAGTAGGCAGCTGGTTCCACATAGTGGTGGTGCGCGGAATAAAGTGCCTTGAAAAACGCTTAGTTGTGGAACGGCGGATGTCGAGGTGATACGGGTGGAATTTCATATTCTGCCTCGACGTCCGATGATGAAACGTTTCTAGAACACTGGGTTTAAACAGTTTAGATATGATAAACGCCACCTCTTTATGTATTTATCGAAGTAATTCAATATGTCTTCATTTACTAAGGCATGATTTTAAGAAAATATATTTTTACAAAACCTTTCACCGGTTCGGTTTGACATCTAGATCTATTATCTTTCCTTACAAGAGTTATTTAAATAAATGCTGTTTTTCAGGACGAGCTCGTAAGTTATTTCTCAACTGATGAAAAAGTTATAGAAATGCATAACCCTGAAGCATTGACCTGGCTCCGTAGCAAAATTGAGTGCGCGCTCATACAAGCCCTGGAAGACAAGCGCTACAATAGTGAATAAGTAAACTCTAACCGAAATTGAATTTGACTGTTGCAACAATGTTTTGACGAACCACGACCATGAGTTTGACGAAGTATACACGCTAACATCTTAATAATTGTAATCATATTTGCTTATTTCTATGAAAAATGTAACAGCGCCTCTGGTGAACATTAAGATTTTTTAAACTTTGTAAAGCTGTAAAGGAACATTGTAATTGCGGCCATATCAGCGACTTAAATTTTGTTTGCGTTATGGATCCACTTCTTAATTCCATAATGGTTTCATAGATTTTATTCCAAGCTTGGTATATTGGATTATTAACAATTATAATTTATTAGCACGTGGATAGATGTCGCTAAATGTCAATAGAAAAATCATATTTATGTGGTAATAATGAGTTATAGATAATAGTTAGACTTTACATTATTAGATATCATTGCTGTAGAATGAAAACCTCGTATGGCAAAAAACCATTTATTTTTTTCTTAGACTCTTCTGTCATTTAACTGGTATAATCATGAAGTAAGGACTTATTTATGTTATTAATAAAGAAGGAGTTTTAACCATCCAAAACTATGGACAAAAACACAAAACAATATTTTAACGAACATTGACGAAATGAAACATTTTTTCGTTTCCTGTAATGTTTGGTTCTCTGGACATACGAGGTTATCATTCTACAGCGACGATATTATGGAAGTGGAAATTCTTGCCTCTTTACTTATCCAGATTCCATTCAGTCCTATTTATCAAGAACTTGCTTCCATTTCTTGCTTCATATATTTTACTTACATGGCTAAATATTTATAAAATGTCAAATGCTATGCATTGTAAGGAATATTTTAGGTTCTTTAACATAAATGCATTTGGTTTTGGATCTATTATAATTGACGATTTTTGACACATATCTACAATCCATAGATTGTAACGTTATTTTCGGTATATAATGAAAATAACGTTACAAAATACAAATATATAGCTGTCAAATCGAACGGTAAAGCAGGCCTAATTTCCACTTTAATGAATATTTCTATTCTAGTCGTGTTATTAAAGCACAAAATATTAGCTGTTGTGTTTAGTTGGTATTAATCGTTCATGTTTATGTGGAATATTATATGTTAAGATAAAAATATCTAGTCAGTCTGAGCTTTATGTAGTTAGCCTATGACTTTGAGTTTAAGCTTACAGAATATTTTTATGTGTTTAGCTATTTATGTTTTATACGAAATTATTTTCATAGAATATTTACTCTAATTTATAACAATAATTTTTCATATATTATTTATAGCTGTCACGAAAGTGTTATACCATTATAAAAAAAACTAATATTATATTTAACATGATAATAACTGTTCTATTATAGTTGAATTTTCGCCTATCTTTTTGCTTAACTTTAGAACAACTCGCTAGTAAGAAGTGTGGCAGTTACTTTTTTTATTAATGGTTTACCTAATTGTAATTGGTTGCAAATTTTAATAAAACTGTATAATTAGATGAACATTTAAATTATGCAAATATAAAAAAAAATAATTAATCGACAATTAAGGTTGTCGGTCAGTAGATCTGTAATTTTACTTTGTGATCAAATACAACATAAAGAACAGAAGCTGTAGCACGTACAAAAAAGAAAATAATAGCTATCGAATCAGGAACAAGAGTTTTTTATATGGAAAACTTAAGAACAACGGATCGACCGTTGGAACTAAACGGAAGCACGAACATGCATCCTTCGAATGAATACATGTAATAATCTGTACGAATTGTAAAGAAAATACGTTAATGTACGTATACGAATAATTGACGAAACTATCAAAAGGATCGTGCTAAACACTGAAAACATTTTATAAGCTTGTATCTATAATTTGAATTAGTGTTAAGTGTTAATACGCAGTTTCATGTTCTCGATGTGTAGTCTAAAGACTTACATTGACTATAATTATCGATGATTAACATATGTTTTTTAATGAGCAATTGAAATAAAAGATTTCATTAAACAATGTTTTATTTTTAGTAACCAAAAATGCTCTATAGTCTATATGTTACTTAAATACTTTTGGTTAAAAATAAATATGCTTTAATATCATTAATAATACCAATGTCCAAATCCACTAACTTTGTTAAAAGAACAACATGTTCATATAGTATTTATATAACAGAAAGAGTTGAGGATATTTAATAAAATCCATTAAAATTCATATATTTCTCTATTTTTTTCTCAATTCCTAGGCTTTGTTACTCTGAACTTTCTCCACTTGAACTATAATCACCTACCAAAGACCAAACTTTGTCCTTACATTTTCCATCCACTAATACCCTCTTATTTTGTTCATTTTTTCTCTTATCTAAACCTATGTCATCATTTTGAATATGTATATCTTCATTTTGTATTAAAGGACCATGTACACTACTACTACTTTCTTTTACATTAAGTTTTTTATCCAAATCAATGTTTTCAACTTTATTTTTTTTTATAACAACACCTAAATTATTTCTTGTAAGAACTGGTTGTTTACTTAAGGATTCTTCTTTTTTAAGTCCCCCAAAGCTAGTTATGAGTCCACTACTACTGTGAAGGGCAGGGGTATTCATAATTTTGTTTCGTGTGACTGTTTGTTTCTCTTCAATACTGCGAGAGGGTCGAAGTGAGAGTAGGGCAGCCATATTTCTATCATCTTCATTTTCAGGTAGCAGATTGATGGCAAGGGATGATTTAGCAAGGAGTAAACTGTCATTTACAGCTGATTCTTCTAGTTCTTTTCTTCGCTTCTATAAATTATAAAATATTATTATTTTACGGTAATTATATGGTGCTGGGTTTTTAATTCTATGAGCTATTGAAAGCGGCACTATCAGCAAGTAACATAAAACATAAAATGTCAATATTCCTTATTATTTTCATAAAACTTGAAACAATAATTATTTTTAAAATACAAACAATTATTGGGAAAAAATTACTATAATCATACTACATTGAGTGTTTTTAATGGACCAGTAAGCATTCAACTTAGAAGAAAACAATGCATGGTGGAATTATTCCTCATTTATATTTAAATTTTTAAGAAATGGCAAATGTTTATAGTTTTATATTAGTACTTATAATTTTAAGACTTACTCTAAAGTTTCTTCTTAATGCACAGTTGGCATCATAGTCATCTTTCCACACATTTTCATTCCGTCCTACGAGGCGTCCAAGGCGTGGTTTATCCAATTTACTAGCTTCCTCATCTCCAGTCTTATGTTCTAACCTGAACATAGCATCATCAAATAGTTTTTTCTGTGCTTCCTTTGTTTCAGGTACAATCTGGCCATTCTCAGTAGGGTCCCATCTGTTCTCTTGACGTCTAGCCCCAGACACAATAACATAATCTAGGTTCTGTAAGATTTCAGTAACTACTTTATTTACTTTAAATCAGTGACTTCACTAGATAGATTATGTCAGTTATTACCTAAATGGTTTAATCAGCTGCTAAGCAGCACTGACTTTCCTTGATTTAAATTAATAATTTAAATTTAAATCATAGGGAAGATTTATCATTATCGCCCTTGCCTGATAAGATAAACAATCAATAACAACCAGCATATAGCTAGGTATAAAAGGTCTATGTATAAATCACTGGATCACTTTTTAAATAATGTAAATAAGCAACCAGGAACATATTTAAAAGAAACATACTTACACCAGGATCAGTTTTAATTTCAAAATGATTATCACATAAGTGACACTTCATACGAAATTGATAAACTGGGGTACTATAGTACATCCCAATTTTTGTCTTCTCAGCATTGTATCTAACACCCATACCAATATGATTATTACATCCTTCACACCATATATTATATGGCATTTCAAACCGTATTATTAGAATGCCCATGTGTAATTTTCTGGCCCTCTCTCGTAAAGCATGAGTACCCATAAACTTATTTAATCCTCCAACCTTAGGGTCATAGTCAGGAGGATAATAAAGGTTTTGTCCTTTTCGTTCACCCATTTTGTTTGTTTAATTTATCTGCAAAGTCATAAATAATTACAGTCTAATACTACAAAAAGATTTAACTTTTGATATATATATAAGAAAATCTGAAGCAATCTCACTTGTGCTCTCAAAAAGTATTTAGAAGTTTTGTTTCAAGAATTCCGATAACATATAAAGTTTTATACGCGATGATAAAAATATATTAACTATAATTATTTTCACTTTAGTTTATATTAAATTCAAATATTAGAGTATTGAGGGAATACTGAAATAATTAAGTAATCTAATTGAAGTGTAAATTTGATCACAAAACATTACACAAATATGCAATAACAATTTTTCTACACATGAGTGATGACTAGTTATCATGAGTTGGCGTTTGACATAACAACTGAAACTGACAATTTGAACAAAACAAAACAGCTGTTGAACTTTGACTGCTTTAGAAGTTTCACGTAACTTGACGTTTGAGAATTTTGTATAACGATTGCTTTGATTATTAGTTTGACAAGTTCTAGCTTTTCACATTTTACAAGAAAAATCTTGAATAGGACAATATCTTTTCATTTAGCTTTTTAGGTATAATTATAGTAAAGCTATTTTAAACCAATTGGTCTGTTTATAATTGAAATGTTTTTTAATTTGTAAATGATAGTGAGATGCTGGAAACTAAAAATAGATCTAGCCGTAGATAGTTCACAACTCTTTCGCATTGTTATGGTAAATCGGTGTTAATATTGAAGAGAATAATATGGGGAAACGAGAAGATCCCCTGTGGAAACTTACCGCCGCTCGAGAACGTGATGGCATATCAAGGAAATTCCAGAGCCGACTTACCGTCACCCGTAACTTAGTAGACAGACTTGGTCTAGAAAAAGAGCTCCATGGGCATATGGGTTGTGTAAACTGCTTAGAATGGAGCAAAGATGGATCGTAAGTATTTCTTCTCATTCTGTAACAATTGCAAAATTCGAAAGGCATACGCCTAATTCTTCTATTTGCGTCGTAGTGTGCTGGCATCGGCATCCGATGATCTTCATGTAATATTGTGGGATCCATTTCGGTATAAGCAACTACATAATATTACAACTGGACATACAGGAAACATATTTTCTGTAAAGGTCAGTGATGTTAATATGCATTTAGAATAATAAGTGATTTCTTTTGTTTTAATTGTATTTTTGTGAGGAGCATTTCATATAGTTTATAAAATATAAATTTATAAATCAAATCATATTGAAACTTTACCAGCTCATAAACATATTTTATGTTATAATTAGTTATAAACTTCTGCATAATATCTTTAATAAGAAACATTCAAATAATGCATGTTAAGTATGATATATAATTTATTGTTTATAAAGCAATAAATATTGTGTATAATTGATGAATATGTTGTATAATTGATGAAGTACAATACAAAGATAAAGTATGTATTTGTCATATATACTATATATTATGTATGTATGTAGTTTGTACATATTACTGTCTTAACTTGATTTATGAAAGTAGTGAGTAATATGAATTTTTATAATAAAATATAAAAAAAATTTTTTATATTTTATTATAAACGTTACTTTTGAATTGCTTTTTATTTCACATAAGATTTACTTCATAAATTTTAAATCTTAATATATATATATTTCTTCTGTGCGTGTGTATGTGACTGAACTCCTCCTAAACGACTGGACCGATTTTGATGAAATTTTTTGTGTGTGTTCAAGGGGATCTGGGAATGGTTTAGATTCACAAATCAGCCCGGCAGATGGCACTGCAGTCGGTACTTTCATACTTTGCTTAATATCCTAATCGCTTTAAATATCATGCAGGACAACGTCTGTGGGGTCCACTAGTCATATATATAAAAAAAAATGTTTAGTTAAATAAAATAAAATATAATATGATACTTAATTATAACTAGGGATGCATCGATACGCTTTTTTGCCGATACACTTAAAGAAATATCGTCGATACCGATACCAACGCTTATTGAATTAAAATTAAATTAAGGTAAAATATATCAAGTTAAGTTAAAGTTTATAATTTTTATTAAATATATATACAAAAAATAGTCACAAACTTTGAATAATTTTAAAGGTGTTGTTACTAAAATGAAGAATTAAGAGTAATCATTAAATTAAAATAAAATAAATAACTGTTAATAATTAAAATTAACAATGCTAACATTGTTGTAATTCTGTATTTTATTAAATTTGGTATCGAAAAAATACTACTCGCGATAGCAGTTAAAAGTCAACTAAATGTTCTTCAAATCTACGTTCAATAAAGTCTCAATGATCCATAATATCAAATAACTATGCGCTGGCAAAGATAGTTGACTCGAGTAAAAATTTTGGTCTACTAATCAATCCAACAAGAGTTTTTCCTTCTAACTGACGTGAGACTGATCGTAAATTATCGTGATTCATGTTCACTTTTTATTTTTCATGTAGACTTTTTTTAGTTTATATTATGTAATATGTATTTTTGCCCTCCTTTTCATTTAATTATGTTCAATTTTTATATTGTAATGCAACAAAGTGTTAATAAATAAATAGTGTTTAGCGAAATGAAATACATAATATATTCATTATACATAAATAATAATGCTTTGTCCCCAAGCGAATGATAGAGACAACAAACTGAATAAAACGCGGGTATTTCTCGGGCAACAATAGTCCGTGGCTCGTTTGCAACAAACTAGATCATACAAAATGCGCGTTTACATTATTTTTTAAAGCGTGAAATTTGAAAAGTATCGGTGAATCGGCAATGAAAATATCGCCGATATATCGGCATCGGTATCGGATGCATCCCTAATTATAACTTTGTTATTACATATTTAAAGTACATTATATTTTTGAGTTTACAATGAATCCACAAGAGATTGATTCTTGTTTACTACATTACTATTCCTAAATCTGTTTTTTTTATTTCTTAAAAATAACATTTAAGTATTTATTTTAATGTTATTGTTAACAGTTTCTATCGCCGGACATAGTAGCAACATGTGCTGCAGATGCATCAGTGAGAGCTCGCAATATTTATGGTGGTACATCACTTTTAGAATGTGCCTGCCACAGTGCCAGAGTTAAGAGGCTGGCAGTTGCCCCTGATAAGCCTCATCTTTTGTGGTCTGCAGGAGAAGATGGTTTGATTTTGTGAGTAGTTTAATTAACTTTATAGCTGATCAAAATTTACAAATCATATTCTCAAAGGTCATAGCTATATTATTTATATGTTGTTACCTTAACACAAAAACAAATACATAAAAATTATAAGGGATGGAACGGGCCGCCTTATTGCTAACAAGCCATCTCTTCCATGCAAAAAAATAAAAAATAAAAAAATATTGATGGTAAAGTGCAAGAAGTGCACCAAATCAACAAAAACAAAATTACAAGTAACACTGAAAAATCATTGAATTATCAACCTTAATATAAAAATTAATTAACTAAAAGCTAATCTCACGGATTCATGAATTACAATTATTTGTAATAAGAATTACAAAAATTATGATTGAGCAGAAGTATTTTATAAGAGGTATATTGTAGTAAATTTAAAAAAAGTTATTCTGTTTCCATTGTAAAAACATAATTATATTCAATATATAATACAATAAAAAATAAATAGATAATTTGATTGTTTAATAATTTTTTTTCCAATATTGTCTTATGTTCATAAAATGTCTATGTTTAAAATGCTAATTAGTGTTAAAACACCAAAGTATAATGTTGTAATAAAATTTTAAAAGATATGTTTTGGAATGTGTTATTCCAGACAACACGATCTCCGTATGCCTCACCGCTGCAACTCCGACTGCAGTAATGTGCTAGTCAATTTGCTTAACCACATGGGTCGGTACGCTGAGGCCAAATGTCTGGCTGTGAACCCGCGCCGGCCATATCAGTTAGCCGTCGGTGCTAATGACTTTTACGTACGACTATATGACACTAGGATGATAAAACTTGGAAGGTTGCAGGTGAGTTATAGATAATTTTAATGATTTTACTCACGTTATTACAGAAAAAACTTCGCGATATTAATAGGCAAAAGAAACAGTATTTAAGTTTTACAAGATCTTGGGAAGACATGCTAAATATATGCGGTCATTAGTCTGGCTTTAAACCTAAATTGTGTTAGTCTTCATAACCTGAAAGCAAAACCTACATCTAAGTGACATTTTTATTCATTCTTCATGCTTATATATTAATATGGATGTTAATATACAATTGTAGCAGTCGAAAGCGGTAATACTAGCATAAAATATGCCTACGGGCCTTTTAAAACGATAAATGTATTCTGTGGATTAATGTTGTCACGTTATTAGGACTTTCAAATGAACGCGCCCATGTCTCGCTTAATGTGGGAACGTCAGAACGTTCGATGTTCGCGTGCGGGTCAGGGCGACCCCGATAACAATATACCGCGGGCTGCCGTGCAGTACTTCGCGCCCGGTAAGCATAAGCAGACACAAATTTGTGTTTGTTTTTTACAATCTTATTACCTTTTTTAATTCGCTGTAAATTGGTTTCACACAACTTCAGATTTGCACAACCGCGTCAGTAATATTTAAGTTCGATCCAGGGCATAGCATATCTCTGTCTCTGTCTCCTTTATCGTTTTCATAAAAATAAATAGGTGATTTTTTTGGATTCAATACAATAAATTGGTTTATGTGCAATTAAGTCATGAAGGTATTGTTTAAAAAAAGACATATCCGACTGTTAATATTTTACCTTTATTAGTTGAAAAATCCTTTGCAGAATTTGATACTACCCGCATTTGTGTTGTCAGGTCACTTGTCAATGGAGCCACAAGAGCACACGTTCCCGAAGAAAGCGGCCACTTACATCGCCTTCAGTCACGACGGAAATGAGCTTCTAGTCAATTTAGGCTCAGAACAGGTGATATCTCTATATACATAATATATAAAATTCTCGTATCACAATATTCGTTCCCATACTCCTCCGAAACGGCTCGACCGATTCTTATGAATTTTTTATGCATATTCAGTAAGTCTGAGAATCTTGAATCTTTCAAACCCCTAAGTGATAAGGGGTGTCTATCCTAAATTTTTATTGTTTTATAAAAAAAAAATATTCTTACAAAATACATACAACCCTTAATTTTCATTTACCCTCTACGATCAACCCCTATTTTTTATTATAGTAGATAATTATTTTTATTGAACTAAACAAAATGTTTACTAGAAAAATATACATGGCAAAACGACGTTTGCCGGGTCAGCTAGTAAATTTATAATAAATAAAATAATTTTATTTTAAACACTTACGACAATTTTTACTACGTTTGAAGCATGACTTCTTGCGCTATGTTCCCGTAGGTTCACATCATGTCTCTACTGAAATTGAGGATTTATAACAATTTAAATTACAGGTATACTTATACGATATAAATTCTTCTCGGCGGCCGGTGCTTGTAGAGAGTTTTATAATTCAACACAATCATGGCTATCGTGAGGGGGAGAAAGGGAAGAATGGGACGAGTGAGGCTAAAAATGGGACCAACAATGGGACAGTGCCAAAGGAGGGTGGTAATGGTACTGTGGACCAAAACTTGCCGGATAACGTTAGACAGATGAAGGAAGCGGTGAGTTGCTTAGTTATATTATATAATTATTAATAAAACGTGGAGAAACCGGTATATGTATAGATCGTTCTAAATGTTAGATATATAATTTTTTTTCAGTTTTAACTCACCAATACAGATATGAAACTAAATTGTTTTTATATAGACTTCTTGGATGTTTTTCATTATTTTTAAAACGCAATTAGGACTATATTACATATATTTTTTTTAGAAAACTTAAAGAAGTAATTTAGTTGATTAAAACTTAAAAGTAATAATCTCTCTTATTTGTACCAACCAGTGGTAGCTTCTCATTTTACCCTCATGCGCCTAAAGAAGTTTCACCTAGTTCTTTCTTCCTGCAACCAAACATATTCTTCAGCTTTAATAAAGTGCAAAGCTATTATTTTTTGCAACCTCAACCATAATCGTCATAAAAATGCGTAGAAAAAAATGTAGTAAAATATTCATATATTTAATTCCAGGCAAATGATCTCGTGAACAAAAGCAATTACTCAGGCGCAGTGACCCTTTACAATCTGGCGATAGCCGAGTGTCCCGACTGTGCCATTCTCTACTCCAATAGGGCCGCTGCCCTCATGCGAAGAGGATGGTATGTTTTTTTTTTATTCCTTTGTTTTTTTTATATAACAGGGGGTTAACGGGCAGGAAGCTCACCTGATGTTAAATGATACCACCGCCCATGGACACTCACTCACATTGCCTGAAGGCTTGCTTTAGCTTTTAAGAATTGGTACGCTCTTTTCTTGAAAGACCCTAAGTCGAATTGGTTCGGAAATGCTTCAGTGGGAACCACATAGTGGTGGTGCGCGGCAATAACTGCCTTAAGAAACTCTCAATTGTGGAGACGCGACGTCGTTTTATATCTTTTGAGGTTATACGGTCGAATCAGGGATGTGCACGAATGGATTTTTTTACATCTGCTTAATTACTCACTCCTAAGGCGAAAGGCAACCCTGAAAATAGAAGGCGTGTGTCCCTACCTTAAAAAAATAATATACACCATCGGTAGCTTACGAATTCGGTTCCTAGTCGCAGTATAAATTTCTATGCCTATTAAAAACCTTTTACCTCCCAGGACCGGCGACACATACGCGGCCATACGCGACTGTTACACAGCCATAAAGCTAGACTCCAGTCACGTGAAATCTCACTTCCGCCTCGCGAAAGGCTTGATGGATTTAAAAAGGGCACGCGAAGCTCACGAGTGCCTGCTTTATTTCAAAGACAAGTTTCCTAAACACGCGACTAGTCATGCGGTGTTCTTATTACAAAAGGATATTGGTGAAGCTCTAGAGTCTATGGAAACTCAGCCGGATGAGGGTAAGTTGTTTACTTCATTAAATCATTCGTTTGAAAAGGCTTAAAAAAGGTTTATATTGATCACTACTCACGTTTTTAGATTTATGTTGTAAATAAAATCTAAAAGTAAAGGTAATTAAAATTTATAAATGTAAAATATTATAAATAAAATACTAAAAAGTTTATTATTATTTAACTTAAGTATGATGATAAAATAATATTGTAATATTTCAGTATGTTCGTTTAATTTAATTCTTATTTGCTACTCGTTATTTCGTTTATTCACAAAATTATATACTTTTATTTTTTCAAATTAAGTATCAAGATGATTACTGTTGAACGTAATAAAATTTTAAACCTTTAATTTTTATAATTTATGAATCGATGTCTTCTTTATGTTACAATGTATCAGTGTGCCGAGCGTTGGCAACCTTTTGTATATAAATAAAGAATAATATTTTCAACATAACAAATAAGGTAAATGACCACTGCTGCAACCTCTTACGACGGTTCTGCAAATAATAAGTCTGCAATTGTTTTTTCACTGATTCATAATAATGAAACTCTGTCTTAATCTTTTTTCGCTTAGTTTAACGCATATTGTGAATAACTGCCCTATGTACCCTACATTAGACTCGCCTATCAAACTGCCCTATTGAGTTAATCACCCGTTTCCCTTTAAAATTATCAACGAAACAGATATTTTCGTGATAATTGTTTATTTAAGTGAATTCAAGCGAAACGCTGAAAGTAGGTACCAGTACTAAACATTTCACTATAAAACTGTTCAGCTACTGATGAAGAAGGTCAAGGAGGAAGTGCCTTAGAGCGTCAACTTCGCAGTTCAGCGTTGGACTATTCCAGTCGCTTCTTGGGTCATTGCAATACGACCACAGACATCAAAGAAGCCAATTTCCTTGGACCCGATGCCAACTATCTCGCTGCTGGGTAATTATATAGAAAGAACTTTTGTTGATTTAAACGCCGTATTGCATTACTTATCTATCTTATCTTATCTTATTTATAATAAACATTCAAATCGGTATACTTTACATCTTTCTCTCGTAATATTTTGTAATATTAAAAAAATATAGTGCGTGGAGTCCCTCCGCGCGGAAGAAGTGAAACTTCTTAATGTGGAAATGAAAATAGGAAGAATTTACTCTCGCTCTGTCTCTTTCTATTCCCCCTCCCCAGGAGCGATAAACGTTTAACGCAACCTTGTTGGAAGTCGCATTAGAAGTTTCACTTCAAACACAAAACCCAAATCATCACTTACGTACAACAATGCTATGAATTGAAATGTTATCCTACGCTCATAAAATTCTGAAGAGAGTGCCTGCATCTGGCTATAGTCTCTGGGCGTAGCTCCGACAATTTAGGTAATCGCCGCTCTTAAAAAACTGAGAAACCCTCACAGAGCAAAATGTACAGGCTTGGCTCGTACACAACAAGTATTATAAACAAAAATAAATTTGAATGTTCGAACAAATAAAGTGATAAAATTAAGGCTTAAATGTTCGCTTCATTGACCAATGACACGCGCCATTCCCTGATATTTTTTTACTTTACCTTGCTATTCCAGCTCTGATGACGGCAGTATGTTCGTATGGTGTCGTCGTTCGGGCAACATAGTGCGATGTCTTCGGGCTGACGAGTCCATTCTGAATTGCGTGCAGCCTCATCCCACATTGTTCCTTCTCGCAACTAGCGGCATCGAAGCAGTTGTACGGCTTTGGAGTCCAGCGCCTGAGGTAAATGATCCAGGAACACTGAAGCGGCCTTTGTAACGTGGATTAAAGTTATGTTGTTTTTATGGATAGCAAGATTTTGGTAACCTTTTTATATGGAAATAATAATGGACGTAATGATTGCAAAGACAAATCTTATCTTATTTCACGTTCTTAATATGGCCGATTGATTTTTTAACAGATTAAACTTATTTCCTCAAAAAATGTAATATAAATAACTTTATGCTTGTGGCAGTATAAAGGATAAAAAAAACAAATACTATTTTACTATACAACCTCTCACAATGCCCGATCTTACACGGCCATAATTTGTCAAAATTTTGCCAAATGGCTGAATGTTAGCAGTAATTTAGCTTTTGACTGCAGAATTTAAAAAAATTGTTTTACAAAATTTTGATTAATATTTCTTACCACCTTACATTCTTACTTCCTTACCTTTTAATAGTAGTAACATTTTTATTCATAGATTCAAAAGAAAAGTAAAATAATATGCAAATAAGTTTTCTGTGCAAACCGTTATTTTCTAGTCTTTTACACATTGGATATTAAACGTTTTATGTACTTTATTAACGGTAATAAAAAAAAAAACAGGATGGCAGCACTGAAAGTCGATTAGTGGACGGCCCCACAGCATCAGCGGTAAATCAGCAGCGCATGCGCAGCGATCCTTTTGAGGCCATGCTGCTCAACATCTCCTTCGCTGGTGGACCAGAGAGGGACATCCAGTCACCAGTTTGCCGTGCCACGTGAGCTTTTTAATTTATTATAAAACCGTCTTAACTATCGGTGTTATAAAGTATATTTTTGTATGGCAACGATTTTCGGTTAGTTAGTTAACCAAGTTATTCAAGGAAGGTTTATATACTGCTCAAAACAATTAGCGGAACAAGATTTTTCTCCTTTCTATGGCTTAAACTAAAATTAGATTTAAATTAACTTGTACGCTATTTTTTACCTTGTTAATTTGTTAATTACCTACTACAATTAATAAAAAAATTCAATTTGTATTTTTTTATTAAAAAAAAATTAAAATGTGCATTGTAGACGAAAAACAAAGTGACGTCTTTGAATTTTCATTACTTTCTAATCACAGAAAACACATTTTAAGTAGTTTTTTTCAATCTTTTGAGTATTAATAGAAATTGAAGTGAGCCTTTTGAGTATTGTTATTCATTGAAGCGAGTGAGTTTAGGTCATAATGCCAGATCTGACTGAATTGCATGTCTCCCGAGCTATCGCTTTGCTTGAAGAGGGTCGAACTATGCGTTATGTAGGAAATGATCTAGGAGTAGCCCCTTCTGTTATCTACAGACTTTGGAAGCGATACCGTGAAACGGGAGAATACTCACGAAGGCGTGGTCAAGGTCGAAAGAGAAAAACTACACGTTTGCAAGATCGCTACATCGTCAACTGTGCTTTACGTAACCGCACCACAACTGCAAGAGATCTACAAAATACACTAAGGACGGCTACTGGTGTAGAAATTTCCGACCAGACGGTAAGAAATAGGTTGTTGGAAGAGAAGAATTTGAGATCACGCCAAACAGTTCGGGCTGTGCGTCTAACAATTCAACATAGACAAGCTCGCCGACAGTTCGCGCAAAATCACGCTAATTGGCAACTTCGACATTGGAGGCCAGTACTTTTTACTGACGAATCACGATTCCGTCTAACACGTTGCGATGGTTGTCTCCGTGTTTACAGACGCCCAGGCAAGCGATACAGTGCAGCAGCAGTCCAGGAATATGACAAATTTGGATGTGGCTCTGTGATGGTTTGGGGCGGAGTTAGTTTGAACGAGCGCACAGCATCATAATCGCAATGCAAGATAATGCCAGGCCGCATACTGCAGCCATCACGTCAGATTACTTACGACAGCAGGAAATCCGTGTAATGGAGTGGCCTTCCATGAGCCCTGACCTAAATCCAATTGAACACATTTGGGACTTGCTTGACAGGCGCATCCGGAAGCGTCCGATTGCACCTCAAACACTGCAGCAGCTCACTGAAGCGTTGATTGAAGAATGGGAGGGAATTCCACAAGAAGATATTCGGAGGATCATACGAAGCATGCCGCGTCGTTGTCAAGCCGTGATTAGGGCTCATGGAGGCCACACACGTTACTGAAAGTCACTAAAGACGAATATTCAAACGATATAAGAATATTTCTTTGATGGACCTTTTTTATCACCAATTAGTTTTTCGTCTACAATGCACATTTTAATACTATACAAATTGAATTTTTTTTATTAATTGTAGTAATTAACAAATTAACAAGGTAAAAAATAGCGTACAAGTTAATTTAAATCTAATTTTAGTTTAAGCAATAGAAAGGAGAAAAATCTTGTTCCGCTAATTGTTTTGAGCAGTATATATTTTATATATTATGCTTATTATAGAAGTGATATATAAAACTGTCTATAAATACTTGAAACATAAAATAAAAAGGGCATATCTGTAGAACAAGTGAACCGATTTTGTTGAATCACAGATCGTTTTCTAAGTGGGAATCACCGATAAAAATAACTTGCATATTACTTGTTTTTTTCGATATCATTCATTTTATTACATAAATTGATCAATAACGACGCTTTGATTTCTTTGAACCACCCATTTCTATTAAGAGAAAAAGCTATCTAAAATAAAATAAAAAAATATTTATTTTTCAGGTAGGAGAAGGACAGTCAAAGATAAGAGTTGAATGTAAATAATTGTAATGACTATTTATTTGCCAATAATGTTGAGACATTCGAATAACAATACTGTAGAAACGTGTGGCTTATCGTGATCCTCAAAATTTTTTTTGTAATTGTTAAGCAAAAATTTATTGGTTGGTCCTTGTCTCCACTTTTGGATTGGAGTTTTCGTAGAAAAAAATATTAAGTAAATGTGTACCATCAAATTATTGTGTTAAGAGTTAAGACAAAAATCATCAAAAATGCTTCAAACTCTCATTTAAATAGATTACATTCATTAAACCTTTCATAATAAGTTAGCAAATTTCATTTTTTTTAATACAGTTTCCCATCACCTGGGAATTGCTCACGAAAATTTGAGCGAATCCCATTTACTTTTAAAGAAGCTTAATCGTCAGGATCTTACCTTTTTTTAATTTAACTAAAAAAATAATAATCGATTGCATTTTTTTCGGGTACCTACTTTTTTTTAAGCTTTCGTTATCATAAATTTGATAGATACACCGTAATGTCCCTAGAAGTAAAAGAAAAAATAATTAGACAATCAACAGACTATTATTTTTGTTGCCTAAATCTATAGGTAATAAGTTTTGTCGCCATTTTTTATTTATACGCTTCTGTAGTATTGTTATTGGACGCAGCATTAGCTATAAAAATAGCCTGCAAATTTATTATAAATGTAAAGAATATATTATTCGTTGTTATCCTTACTATTATTTTGTCAGTGTTCATTCCTAAGTATGGTTTTGCTTCACGAAATAAATAGAAAGGTTTTTTTTATTTAAAAAAAAAGAGGAGTTCGATTAGTGATATCCTATTTTTGAATTTCGGTAATACACACAGAAGGTTGTTCTTTGGCAGAAATCAATGAAACAGGGTCAGCAACAAATCTTTCTAAATCTCGGAATTTCTCTTATTTTATTCCTAAATCCTTTCTCTTCTAAGGCATTCATATTAATATTTGTCTAAAATATGCTCCCTAATGTAAAAGAGCTCTGTTTCTATAGCAGCGTTAGGATTTCTAAGTAAGAGTAATTTGATCTGTATTTCGTAACTAATAAGGTTTACATTTCCGTGTTCAATCACAAACTTGGTGAGAATGGAAACCGAAAGACTAAACGATGACACGTTTCGTTTGATTGTGATTGGTCTTATGGATGGTACGTATCGCGCGTGATTTGACAACAGCTTTTAACCAATCACAGTTGTTTATTTTAAACAATAGACGTTCCAATCAATGTTTATTGGCGCCATTTTGAAGACCGTTTCGTAATCGCTATATGCGTATGTATATGTTTATTCTATTACCAATAATTATCAAATAAAATAAGCCTTCTCGTTTCAATTCTTCATCTATCACAAAACTGAGGAAATTTTTAATGACACCGATTTCTGTATCTATTTATTTTGTGTAATTTGGAATATTCTGTACTACTTAATTTATTCATGGCTAAAATGTGTTTGATTAGACATCGACGTATATTGATTTTAGACTGATAGTTGGATGTTGCCCTGACCGTGCGGTACGTTTACGAGCAAGAATTTTTAGAAAACCATATTAATTTGTTGTATGCACTTTAACACAATATATATAGACGTAGGTATATGTAATTTACAAGTAGTGAAAATAATAAAACTATTTCTAATAGCTCATGGATTAGTATAACAATATTGTAACGAAAACCTTGAAACGTCCTAAGTATACTTTTGTTTAATTCTTACAAATTTTAATGAAACGTATTGTGTCAATAATAAATAACTTTATTTCATTAAAGATGGAGGATGAAGGAGTTTTATCTTTATTTTGTTTACCTTCTATGTAAAGTGCATACATTTTGATATTTTATCATTTTTAGGCAAAGATTTCGGCAATTTTAAATAAGACTTAAAAATTAAATTTCAAAATATTAACATTTAGCTACAAGTGCTATTCTATACATAACATGATGTGTTGTTGATACGATTCAATGTTTTCGATATAATAAATTAAAGATATTCCTTTGGTGAGAGCCGTGTTCCCTGCGAATATTTCTACATTTGCTTTCATACAAAAACTGGCTTAGATGTCTTAAAAATTCAAGATGACTTGTACCACTGTACACGCAGTACTGGTAAATATATAGTCCGGCTTGACTAAATATAAATTGGTTTACGTCAGATATGTCGTGAAATTGTCGCAGGGAGCACGGAAGACTCGAAAGTTTCAAATTGTAAAACTGGTGACTGGTTGGATATTGAAGTATCGTTGACAAAGTTATAATTTAATGGTCTTGCTTGAAGTTTCAAAGATTGTTTCGCAATGTAGTCTGCGTTTAAGGGTAAAATTGTATTAAAAGGGCTGTGTAAATTAAAACACGTGATTTATATAAAGTTTATTTCATTACACGAATATGTAACTGGGAGCTTTGAAATTTACTTCAGTTATTGTTTTTTAAAATCATTATTATTTTGGTATTGAAGACTATGTGATATCTATAATGATACTTTGTTTATTAACCATAATAATGTAGCGATTAAAGAATTTTCTTATTTATTGTTTGTTCTTTGAATGAGTAAAACTTATCAAAAATACACTTAAATAAAAAAAGAAAATACCCTTAGAATAATTTATTTTTATATAAATATTATAAAATGGTCCTGAATTTTTGATGTTAAATTCGGGATAGTTATAATAGATAAAGAAACACGTTCGTAAAAAGTCAGATGGAAGTATATATTTTTTATTTGAGATTATAAAAATGTCTTAATTTGCTATGCCAACAAAAAAAGTCCAACTTCGTATATTACTATCATAGGATAATGTAGCCAAAATTCAAGTCAGAATAATAATATATTTTATAATAAATAAAAAAAATAACAACATCATCACCTCGTATTCCCTACTTTACATAAAAAATAAAACTCCAGATGATATAATCATCCCAAAGTCTCAAAAGGCATTATAAAACTCTTCATTTGTAAGTCAGTGCAGCAGAAAAAATTAAAGTTGTCAGTATCTTTTATTTTACGTATGTATTCAATAAATGTATTCGATTTTTTTTACAGATTTCAAGAAAACTTTATTCAATAACAACCAAATCAGCTAGATTTTCACACTATCTAAAAATCTTTTCTAAAACTAGCGCTTCAACCATGGACCTCACTTTAATGTATGTTTTTTCTTTACATGCCTTCTGTTCGACGTAGTCCATTTTTGGGTCTCGGATGTGCTTGCTGGCGTTGTTTTGAGACTTAATATATATTCCACGCACGCATTCAACACTCTTTCTCTAGTAGAACATCGCATCTAGGAGCAGGAACTCGTCCCCCGTTGGCGATGACAACGCCAACGGTGGTGGAGTTACCAGGCCCAGGTACAGATATCTCAGTAAGGGGTATATCGTGGAGCGATTTTCTTCATAATAGCGCAAAAGAGGCGTCCCAGCAGGATACTTACTAAGTTGGTTCGTGTATGTTCTTTGATCTGTAATTCATATAATGCGTAATGTTTGTCTTAACTCTTAAGGCATCAATCATAATCAAGTGCATAAATAACCTAATAGAACTTCTTAGACTAAACTCTTTATTATTTAAGCGAAAGTTTCTTCATGTACACTTCAAAGCAGGCCACATATCTGTAAAACATAAAATAACATTAGTTTACTCAACTCTTAAAGCAGCAAAGAAATATTTATCGGAAAATTTTCTAAGGCGAATAAATATTCTTTCATATTAGAAAAATATTTGCTTTACAAAATCTAGTTAACAACAAAATTGTAGGCTTTCTTTACCCAGGTTTGAGTAAAATATATAAGTAAAAACATTCAGCATTTTGAGAATACCATACTCCCACGTGTAAAGACGTCCATACATTAAGCATCTAAGTATTCAATCTTCGATAGCATATTGTAATGTGACTATCATTGAAATTCTACGGACGTATATAAGTCTATACAAATGTCGTTCTTATTGTCCTAGCCAATAAGATCTATTATTTTGTACAACTTTACTGCGTAGGCGCGCCCACGTATGTTTTATGATGAATCATTATGTGAACTCGGCTGGCTCAGCACTTTTGTGAAACAAGGAAGTGCAGGGAGATCGTGTCATATGAATAATGCTATGTTTCGATTATATGCAACGGTCATAAATACCTCAATAATTGTACAATTTGGTTATTGGCATTTAGAAATTGTCGTACGGGAATCATAACTTTGCTCAGACTGCACAATTTAGTTCTTCTTACCTACGAAACTGACGAGTCCTTTTTTTTTAAGTTTTCTGTTATTTAGTAGTTTTTTAAGTTTTTTGTAACCAGTGATCCAGTAAGACACTATAAAAGGTACCTAAATTCACTGCCCTCGGCTTTCTTAAAATAGAAGTTAGGTCAGCGAGCATTTTCAGTAGCTTCGCACTTCAGATATACATATGATTTTCAATCTACCATTAGGGATATGTTAAAATGAATTTTAAACTGTGGATGAACATGATTTTATGTTAAGTGCAACCGCATAATAAAAATTACTTTGAACCTTTCAATAAACTTATCGGTTAGCCGCTAAAACGTAAAAGAAATAAGCATAAACTACTATTTCGTGGAACGCATTAAAAATTCAAAACTTCCCCTTCCCTTACACGTGCGTCTTATGCGGGCTTAATAAAATATACTCATCTGAAATTATTATTCAATTCATCATGAAGGTAATTCAATTCAAGACCAGTATGTTACTAGCGAAGCTAAATTTTAAAGAGGTGCCTATTATACCGGAAGGTATTGGAGGTGCAGATCGTCATTTGCTAAAATAGTTCCCTGACAGTTCTTTGCTACAATGTTAGTTGTTATATTAAAAGGTGTATCTTAATATATATATTTCTTCTGTGCGTGTGTATGTGACTGAACTCCTCTCAAACGACTGGACCGATTTTGATGAAATTTTTTGTGTGTGTTCAAGGGGATCTGGGAATGGTTTAGATTCACAAATCAGCCCGGCAGATGGCACTGCAGTCGGTACTTTCATACTTTGCTTAATATCCTAATCGCTTTAAATATCATGCAGGACAACGTCTGTGGGGTCCACTAGTATATATATAATTAATTATAGCGCTTTGCACCCGAGGTATTTATGATAGTGGGTCCAATTGTCTAAGTTTATATAAGTTGTAAAAATATTTAGATTTAGTCTATCCACATTCCTATTAATTCATATCTGTATATATAACTATTGTCTCTTTGTTTTAGTAAGTACGGAATGTTTAGAAAAGCGGGGCGCGTTATGAATATTATTTTAAACAGCTTTTATGGAGCTCTATGATTCATTAGCATAAGTAGGATTACGCACAATGGCTGTATTATAATGTGAGGATCTTTTACACAAATATGTATGTATAGATTTCTAAAACAATAACATATACTCATCAATATAATAGTAGTTCCACCACGATTTAGAAAAGGCTTTAAACGCTGTATGAATTGGAATTACTTTCGCCCGATTATTATAAAATTAGTTATGGCCATACATTGCTTAAACAGAATAAATTTTAAAGAGTTTTAGAATCTAAAAAAATCGAATAGATCCTCAAACAGCCTTTACCTACCCCAATTTTAAAAGACAAATATTATCTTAGCCAGATAAGCGGGGTCTCGCTTATCTGGCCCGCATAGTTTTAACACAAGTGAAGCTACTGTATTTTGTGATAATAATTTATAATTATCTCACCTGATGGTACTCGTCGGCAACAGGAATAGACGCCCATAACTGTGAGATTAGAAATAATAGTATAAATTAAGATGACATAATAAGTGAAAGGCGAAAAATACAAGTAAAAAAAACAAAATTATCAATTTTTTAACGTTGACGTGTTGACGATGATAATCAGGGTTTGCTAGTTAACGTCGATCAACAGACTTTAATAATTTTAAAACAAAGATTCTCGCGCAGTTAAAATTGCCTTTGTTACTGGAATCAAATTATGTCAACAAGCTTTATTGGCGGCAATCTTACACTGATTAATTCGGTCGGAAAAGTGAAATAAGTGGGTCAGTTTTCGTAAGTAATTCGACCTCAAAAGAAAGTATTGTAGGTCACTTCAGTAACCACTACGGCGGACAACCTTGAATGAAGTCAATGATCGAAAACCCTCGCAACCCGTGCAGCCGTTTTGTCCTTTTCTCACTTATGGTGAGCTGAAAGGATAGCATCACCGTTCGGGAACCCTAGCATCGTGCAGCCTATCTGCTCTCTTCAGTTCCGAATGGCGTAGTATTTCCGTCTCTGTCCCTCGCCGCCAATGGGGGCGGCGCAGGCGCATCGGCGCGGAGCGTTTGCTCAACTGGAGCGCTAGGGCTTTCTTTGTTGCTTTTTTACACAAATTAGTGGGTTAGGGCTGCCACTGACTTTGTTTATTTATGGTCGGATTCATCGGTGACTTGAGCAATCTATTGTTAGAGATAATATTGTTTCACCTTGTTGGGTGTGTTATCAGACGAACTAACTAAGATGCATTCAAAGATTAAAGTGATTCAAATTTCCTCTTTGCACAAAGCCTTTAATCTTATGCATGTTTGTTGTTGATTTTCTACATGTCGACAACCCTAACAGCGTATTAAAAAGTGAATATTTACCGTAAAAACAAATGCAACCTGTCTAAAAGAATCATCGTGTTTCGAATCCATAATTCCGGCCAGAATAGGTCGGCTCATTCTTATTCCCAGCCCGATTGTCTTTTTATATTTCGTCTCTTTGTTTTTCGACAAGTGCAATGGAATCCTTTGGAGCAAATATTGGTATGTCGCTTTTTGTCGGCGAGTCCATTCCAGTTGGAATCTGACCGGGCCACTCGTTTAGACCGTCTTCATTTGATTTAGACCATTTACTCTGATGTCATTTTATTGTCAAGGAATTATGTATTTGCAATGATGTGCCCAATAATCCATGTTAAAATCGAATCCCTATTAAGCCGATATGTATGTTAGTGCAGTCTACCACATGTCTGAATGACGAAACATTATAAAAAGGATGTTCCTGTCTGAGCTTAAAGAAATTAAGCATAGCAACGAAGAAAAGCAGACACGTGTTTAAGAAAAAATACTGGTATAGTTATTATATTACATATTTAATGAATGGTCTTTGTTTGTGCCCGTTTAGACTTAAATATATAGGTATACGCATCCAAACTAGAACTACTGTACAACCATGGATTATAGGGAGAACGTGATTTTATGCTGTTACGAAATTTAATTTTTTAGCAATGATTTATATTTAGAACTTGAGTCTAAGACCCATACGAAATACACGTGCATACAAATTTTATGTTTTGTTCAAACTATCGTAATCTATATTTTAAAAACTCCACGCAAAGGTATAAGCTATAGGAATTATGTATTATTAATGTCAATGTTAGACACGAATCACAGCGTCTAAAACATTACGAACAAGAAAAACTAATAGGCGAAGAAACTAGACCGTTTAAAACTGCATAAAAATGCAATCATTAAAGCAAATCAGTTCGTGTTCAATGTTTCTGTTCGTGATAATATTGTCAGCAGAGCACAAGTAACGATTAATAAGTGTAATTCTCATTAAAAATATATTAGCATAGTTAGATTCCCAGCTATTGTTTTTGCTTTCCCAAAGGAAGCGGCATTCCTAAAGCTAGACGCCATCTTGCATTTAGTTTCTTGGAATTTCATATTTAATATTCTTTGCTTTTTCGCTTCGATAACAATAAAGAAATCTTGCACGCGAGGTTAACATATATTTCAAAATAAAATTTAAATGTTTTTCCCATGAGACCCATTTAAAAAGGTCTATTGATTGTTCTAATATTGTTATAAAAATTTACAATTTTTATTTGTAATAGAAGATGGTCAAATAAAACTGAATACATTGAACAAATAAATATATATTATTTAAATTTGGTTTCTAAGATTCCTAGATAATTTTAAACAAACCTCCTAAGTCTTAACACATAGTTTAGTATAAATTGGATAAATTAAAAAACCTTCATTTGTTATTTTTTCAAGTAATGGGGCGATGGAAACAAAAGACGTTTGTTTTAGCGTTTATTGTGATTGTAATAAAGAACTTAAGACTGGGGTTAAAAGCACCTACCCATTACTTTACATGCCGATGCTAATTAGTTCGTTTCCGACTTCATTTAATACCGACTGAAGTTACCTGTGACTTTGGGAAAAGTTAGAGTACCCAATATTGTTCCTTTCTACAAATCTACCTATCTTCTGCAGTTCATTTCAGTTTTCAGAAAATTAAAAAAATATAAATTTATTTATCATTCATTACTTCTGAAAAATAAAACCCCAAGTCTTATTTTCATTACTTACCGCTTAGCAAAATAAATGCTACACAACATACGTAATTTGTGAATTTACCTATTTTACTGTAATGTCAAATATACTGTATCTCTTTTAATATTTGACACAAGGAATAACACAAGGCTACAAAGACTTAAGTATTTGCTAACTTTGCCTACTGGATGCTATAAAAATGTGCCCCTCGATACAACACTGTATTGTTTATAGAATAATATCTAAACTATTTATAGAGATCTCAGAAATAGCGTCTGTGAAATAAGACAACGTTAAACTGGTACAGAGACGTGACTGAAAAAACTGTTTCTTTTTACCCTTAATGTAGAGGCAGTACATTGTTTTAAAATGAGTTTATGTGGGTGCATTTTTTAGTTACACTACTTGTGATATTATATATAGGGATACAAATATATACTAATATAAAGCTGAAGAGTTTGATTGTAGGCGCTAATCTCATAGCTATAGTCCATTTATAGAGAAAGGATATAGGATTTATAATATCTCATCGACTTACTTGTGTGAATCCGCAGGACACAGCTGGTTATTAATTGTACAATTATCAAAGTTTATCATTTGCGGACCCAAATTATAAGGTCTAGTACGGAATGTCATGAAATAAATAATTTTTCAATTAAAATTAAGAAGAAATGTTAAATAAACTAGTAACACGCATATAACTACTATTCCTAACATAAAAATTATCAAAATTTTGCAATAAATACAGGCATTAATCATTAAATTTGACAGAATATTTATTTCCTTAAATATTTATGCTATCCCATCAAATTTCGTTGTTTTATATAGAATAGATGTCATGAAAGTTACCATTGGGTGTTAAAGCGATATCGCGTTAGAAACCGCAACGTTCTATTCCTAATGTAAGGTATTTTGAGAGACAGTTAAAATTAGTGAGCATCTGCATCCGCCATATGTTTTTCATAAAATGGCTTTTTATGGGTTTTGTTTAGTTGGGGATGTTGCACCCTTATATGGAACTGACCACTGGTGTAGTGGTAGGTTAAAGGTTTTTTACCCCTTACCCCTTAATTGGACACAGGTTATCAACCTTCCCTATAAACTCAAGTTAACACTTCAAATCAATCGAAACAGTTTTCGCCAAGAAACGAAACCCCTACTACACGCCATGTGCCGACTAAATTAAGACGTAAACCCATGAAGTCTATTACATTTAACTTCATCATAATTTAAATAATAAACGTGTGTGGACTTATGTACACGCGTTAGAAGTTATACTACTTTGGCGTAACAAGAAAATGGCGTAAAAATCTTTTCAAAAATTGTATTCTACGTTTGTAGAAAAAACGATACTAACAATAGAAAAATGGTATTTAATACATTTAAAGTTTTATTATAACGCATTATCTAGTTAAATAAAGTTTATTAAACATCACAAAATAAAATGTTGTAACTTCAGGGTGTCGGTTTTTGTGACGGTGTGTGCGCGCATCGTAAAAATTTATTCTTATAATTTTTCCCTAACGCGCCATCAAGTAAGACAAATTGTCGTTAAGAAGTAAAACAATGCTATTTTCAGTTAACTTTATCTACGAAGTCCGAAAACTGACGCCAAGGACACAGTAGGGACAGTATATTTTTTATCGTATCAAAATTAACTTTCCGTTTTAGTTAAAATTCTTAACATATTTCGTTCCCAGACCGATTTTTATAACGTTAGAAATAAAACAAAATGGTATTTGGGATACGATAAGACGTTTTTATTTTTATGACCTAACGTTTCGAATTCGTCCCAAATTAACGATAAGTAGTTTTATGTATACTGTTGTTATCAAAATCCCAATAACATTTATTAAGAACACGTCCAATTGTAAACCTCTGGGTCGGTTAAAAAACTAAAGAACGCTTGGTTATTTTACGCTTTTACACATACATCGCTACGTTAATTGTGGTGAACTTATATATTCGATTGGATAATAAATTATAAATTTGATATTAAATGCGGCAAAGGCTCACAAGACATTTGATAATTGCACCATAATCTTCCCAGGTTCTCACTGGAAGGACTACATCCTTCGTGTAACAAAATACAATTTATACATAGCCTATGGTGCTTTACTGAATCAATATGATTTTATGCAAATACTTTGTAAGTTTTTAGCAAACAGGAAATTATACCAATGTGGTTACTAATGTAAAACCTGAGTATCTAGAGGTCAGGAAATGGCGCGTTTCCTTCCGAAGCCTTATAGAGTGGGTTCATTAAGGAATAAATAAAAAAAAAATAAATACTTATATCTTTATTACGACACTTTCTGTACCTTTACTTCGACTGTCGAATCGGTTTTGATAAATTTGGGCTAAAAATTAATTTAACTTTAAAAACGTTTTGAATTTATACTAACATATAGTCAACGAAGTCGCGTCAGCTATAAAAGAGGTTTTGTTT